TAAAGAAAAAGAACTTAAGGCAGTAGGAGTGTTCACCTTTGATGCTAGCACCCAGGAGGCAGAGGCAAGCAGATCTCAGTGAGCTCGAGGATAGCCTGATCTACAAAGAAAGTTCCAGGACAGTCTGAGCTACGCAGAAAAACCCTATCTTGAAAATACAATCAAAAAGAAAAAGAAAAAAGAACTTGAGCCAATACTTTTCATACATAAGTTAAAAGGCCTACACTACATATATTGTTTGGTGTGTATACACGCATGTGTACACATGTGCTAAGGGGTTCATTGGAGGACACTGGTCAACACTGGGTATCTTCCTTAATCTCTCTCTACCTCCTCCTAAACCTGAACCTGAACCTGCAGTTTACTAGTGAGCTAGCCTGATGGCAGCAAGCCCAGATCGTCTCCCAGACTGAGCTTACAGCCTCATGCTGGACCTACTTGGGATCTCAACTAAGGTCCTCATACTTGTGGAACAAACTCTACCAAATTACCCAACTCCCTAGTCCATAAATGGGTAATTTCTTTTAAAGGAAAATATAATTAACCAAGCCCATCTCAACAGACAATAAACAGACAATAAACAAATAGAGCTGCCATTATGTACGTCCATAAGATAACTTTACAAAGTTCTACCAAATGCTTAAGACTGCCACAGCACCAAATAGTAAAACACTCCAATTCTTTTTATGAACTAATAACATTCCACAGGCCGGCTCCCCGCTTGAAAAATTGTCCAGTCCACAGTCTCCTCTTTTAAAATGCCCAGCACTCCAGGAAAATATGTCTCTACAAAATTGTTACTTTTACTGCCTGGTCCTTATGTAGAAGAGTATACCCACCCAGACTTAATGTAAAGTTTTTAACAGAGTAATACAGAGAAAAACCCGCAGGCAGGAGTTCAAGTTCCAGTGGCAGGTTATCAGAATCATATATAGATGTTTTTACAAAATGCCCTTACATTTCAAGAAGGTACATATCCAAAGCAATTCCTTATTAACAGCTATTTTAACCAGTGATCAGCAAAACTTACATTAGACATTTTATGTTCTAACATAATACTTTGTGGCTTGTCGGTGTTTAACTGCTTTTTCATCATATTTATGAAACTGTGGGGTTGAATTAGTATCTGACATGGTAATGTTCTTTTAAACTATTTTACATGAGCAAGTCAATGGAGTCCTTGCCTAACTTGTGTAAGAGGTTTGGTCCCTAACACCAGGAAGATAAAATACAATTAAAAAAAAATAATGCTTGTTATGGGAATACCTGGTTTTCAGGAATAGAGTACTAAGGTTGAGTATGATATGACTATATGGCATTAATATCCTAGCCTTACGATACTTAAACACGGAATAGTAAAACCACCATATACGCCTCACTTTAAAGAACCAAGCCAAAAATCTTAGAAAAAGATTAATAAAATCCAATAGTGCAATTCAAAAATAAATAGAGCTGTCTTAATCTGCATAGTTATGATAGCTTTCCCCCCAGGTGACTTTTGTCCTTGGTGAGAGAGGGAAGAGTTCCTCAGGGACCTTGGAGCACACTCGCCTCACTGCCTCTCTTGACTAGAGGAACACCACAGACACTGGCTGGCGTGAGCTGGTTCTCTGAAGCGCCACCAGCCACTTCACATGAGTCTCCTCACAATCTTTGGTCACTGCTGGGTACAATAACAATCATGTTGGTCTTGGTGGCAAATGCTCTAAGAAAGTAGCCAGTGTCATTCAAGAGCCATCATCTTGGTCAAGGCTGTTCGTTATCGTTATATGGAGAGGCTACTGGGGAAACAAGATTGGCCATCCTGTGCAAGGTGACAGACCACTGTGGCTCTGTGCTGGTGTGCCTTGTCTCTGCCCCCAGATAAGCATCATCTCTACTCCTCTGTCCAGGAAGCTGCTGCCACCTACCAGTAATGACAATCGCTACATGCCAGCTAGGCCAGTGGTTCAAAATCTTCCTAACACTATGGCCCTCTAATGCAGTTCCTCACGTTGTGGTGACCCCAACCATAAAATTATTTCATTGCTACTTCATAACTGCAATTTTGCTGCTGTTAAGTATATACGAATCATAATATAAATATCTGATAACTCAACCTACTAGTTGAGAACCACTGAGCTAGGATTGCACTGCCACTTTGGAAACTTCTCTGAGGGCACCTTTGATGTCATCTCCAAGACCTACCCAACCTCTGGAAAGAGACCATGTTCACCAAGTTTCTCTATCAGGAATTCACTGTCTATCTTGTGAAAACCAACATAAAAGTCTCCATTTGGAGGATCCAGGCTCCACCGCTGGCTTCCACATTTTTAATTTTTATTAGTAGACTTAGTTTATGCTCTTTTTTCTTGTATAAAAATAAAATGAACTAAGTTTGCTAATAAATAATGACTAATTGAGGTATATTCCAACACGGCATAAGCAGTTCCAGGTCTCAAATCCATTGCTATGTATCTCTACATATAAGAGAAAATATAACCTCTACACATGCTAAAAAGACTTAACCAAATTTAACTCTTTGGGCAGGCAAAAAAATTTTAGTAGAAATTTAGTAGAAATTAATATATACTAGAAACACATGTTTCTACATAGGCCTCAAGCCAAAATTTTTACCTTAGTACAGACAAAACAAGGCAAAGGTACACAATAGCCTGGATGTTTCTACCAATGTTATCAGACAGATTAAGAGTTCTAAAACTTGGAAGAGAGATACACTCACTTACAGAAGTTTTGACAATGTACTAGGAAAAACAAAATAAGTAGAATCAACATTAAAAATATTGCCTGATTTAAGGATTCAGAAAAATTGGATAAATAATAAACATAAAAATTAAAAATTAATAGCCTAGATTTCTTCTTCTAGCAGAAGTAGTGACAGGTATCAGATTAACCCCAAAAAGGGTAATCATGAACAGCAGACAGAAAACAAAGTTGGTGGTGAACATTTGTAATTTTGGCACTCCAAAGACAGAGGTCAGTGTCTGAGCTACATAGTCACACACACACACACACACACACACACACACACACACACACACACACACACACACACACACACACCAGGCATTCAGACACTAAAATCCCAAGCCAGAGACTGGGAGGAGATACTTAGAAAATACATTTGATAAAAGACCTCTGTGGAAAATATGAAAAGAGGTTCTGGAGGGATAGTTTAGTGGTTAAGAGCACTCCCTGCTCTTGCAGAGGGCCAGGGTTTAGTAGCCAGCACCCTAACCCCATGACAACATATGACCATCTGTAGCTCCAGTTACAGGATTTCTAGAACCCTCTTCCGACTCCACCAGCACCAGGCATACACATGGTGCAGAAGCATACATGCAGACAAAGCATCCACATTTTAATAAAAATAAGTAAATCCATATGTGTACGTGTATATGTATTTGTATGTATCTTGAAAGTTAATAATTATTAAACAAACCAATTTTAAAAATATGCAAAAAAACCTGAATAAAAATCTCCCTAAGAGGATGCACAGGTGTCAAATAAACATAACAAAAAATACTCAAAATCATACATCATTAGGAAGTTGCAAAGTTAAACTCTACTACCATTTCATTAGAACAATCAAAGCCGAAATCACTGGTAATGTAAGACTCGGAAACTATGTGGAGCAGTGGGAATGTAAGCTAGCACAGCCACATTGAAGATAGTTTGGCAGGTTCATACAAGACTAAACATAATCTTACCATACAACGTCACAATCACGCTTAGGTATACACTCACAGGAGTGCATTGACATGAACCTGTCAATGAACATGTATGTCTGTTTATAACTACCAAAACTAGAAGTAACTGAAATATCCTTCTATAGGTGAATGGATAACTGTGATATATCCAGACAGTGGAACTTTAGTATAGTAAGAAATGAACTACCAAGCCACAAAATTCCTTAAGTGCATAATGATAAAGCTTTCTTCCTTTCTTTTCCTTTCTTTCTTTCTTCCTTCCTTCCTTCTTTCCTTCCTTCTTTCCTTCCTTCCTTTCTTTCTTTCTTTCTTTCTTAAGCCAACCTGAAAATCTATGTGCTGTATGATTCCAAGTATGTGACATTCTGATTAAAGGTCTGTCGCTGCCAGCATGGATGGGCCAACTGTGGACAAAATCCCAGGGGGTTCCCTGGGCTCAGTCTCCAGCTACTCTACAGAGAAACAAAGGAGAGGGCTGGGAAGACAGTCTCACTTGTGCATGGCAAGTGAAACCAGAATGGGCCAAAATCAAGTTGTCCTCAGAGGAACTGGTGGCTAAGGAGCCAAAAGCTACTACCCTCCACCATGCTATCTTACCAAAGTGTGTATGCCTGACTGCAAACGTGGGTACACATGGAGTATATAGCTCATATGGTTTGCTTCAGAGCTCAGCGCTTCCCTGACCTTCCACAGGCCCTGCCTCTCTCCCTGGAATGCTTTCTTTCACTCTACCATCTGTCCTTGTGAGGACCACATCTGTCACCTCCAAGTAGCTTCTTACTACATAGCCTATTCACTGTGTTCTTACTGACTGCTCCTTTCTGCTTTCACACGCATAGAAATGAGCAAGGGAGGATAGCAAGTTGGACAAGGTGGGTGAAGCTTAGGGCATATGAGTAGGCAGATGACAGCTCTGAGATCCTTGTCTTCGCCTACCCATCCCCAGCACCAGACCTTACCACCTTTTGTCAAGCAACAAAAGAGGAAGATTTTGTGGTCTTTCTGGCTAATCTGGCCACCTTCCACTGTGTTCTCAGCACTCTGGCACTGAGCCTGGCATAAGCAAGCAATGTGAAAACATTTTTAGGAGGAAGGACAAAGGTATTTAACATCCATCTGCTTCCAGGGCAACAGAAAGCCAAGAGATACCAAAGGACAGATACTGATGGCAAAGAACTTTCTCTCCATTGGGGAGAAAATTCAGAGCAGCAAGCTGGATCCCCAGCCACTGATACAGAGCAGCAGGAATGGGGGTAGCTGGGCCTGCCATGGGTACAGGAAGATACTCACTGGGAACTACAGTGGTCTCCCCCGGGGGGCCTGTCAGTGTCACTGGAACATGCACAGTGGTGCTGGGGTCTGCAGGCTGACTGCCCATCCGGGTGACGTTACGCTGGTTGTCTGCATCTTCTGGTTGTTCTTCCACTTTCTGGAGACAGGTGCTGGGCAGCATGTGCAGAGGACCCACACCTGTAACTGCAATGGTCTCCAGATCACAGTGAGGTTCCCTGAAACCAGAATTCTCGTTAGTCCTATGCAGTACGTGAAACCTAGCTCCTTATGGCTATCCCTTTGCCCCAGACAAGTAAAGCTTGGCACCTCTCCATGTTTTGCACAGCTTCTGTCACCCTACACATTTACATTGCCTCTAGGTCTAAAAGGAGGGTATGGAGCTGACTCATTCACTTTGAATTTAACAGAGCCAGGCACTATTGGTTTTATAGTCTGTATGTGGATCAAAACCCCTTGGAGAACAAAACAGTCTAAAATAGGCCTTTCCCTAAGATACCCTGCCACCCCTCTGCCAGGAAAGGCCCAGCACAGAGTTCTACACACAGAGGCAGTGCTGCTGCTCTGTTAGACACATCCTCAACAATGGCCTCAGCTGTGCCTAACCTGGTTTCTGCCAGTCAGTGGGCAAGCACAAAGATGGCAGCTTCAGCCTCCACCTCCAGGCTCCAGGTGTCTTGAAGAGTCAGAGCCAAAAAAAGTAGGCCAGTACCCTCTGGTCCGTTTTTTGTAGACTCAGCTGGCAACCTTGTTTGTTTCTCCTCTCCCAGCATCCTCCCCTTCATTTATGGTACTCGCCAATTTTCTCTTCTCCTGGATGCTCTGTTCTTTCCCAGGTCAATGTGTTCCCAATGTCTCCATTCTCTCCCTAAGTCTCTCATGTGTGTGTGTGTGTGTGTGTGTGTGTGTGTGTGTGTGTGTGTGTGTCCTGTGTTACTGAGGACACACCAGTTGCAGCAAGGGATTTTATTTACCAATGGGAGAAATGGGAGTGTGCGGGGGGCGGGGGGGGGGGGCGGGAGAAACACTACAGGGGCAGCCTGGCAGAGTCACCCAGTTCCTTTCCCTATTACTTGCATAAGGGTAACACTCCCCCCCCCCTTCACCCTACCCCCAATACCCTGCCTCTTACATACTTGGGCTGGTGGTTTCGGGTTTCCTTATCCCCTTCTGCCACGTTGCTCTCCTCTGCAGCCTCCCTCTCTGAGGGCTCAAGTGTTGGTGGTCCCTTATGCCTCGCACGGTGCCGGCGTGTGGGCTCCTCGCTGTTCTCTGCCTCCCGGGGACCCGTGCGAGGGCCTCGATGTCGTGGGCGTCGCTCGCCCTTGGGTGCGAGCACCTGTGCGGTGCCCTCTTTGCCTGATTCCTGTGCATGCCGGTGGGCACGGTGGCGCCGGGGCTCCCGTTCGGTGGTCTCCTCCTCAGGGGAGCCACGCCGGTGGTGACGCCTGTTGCGCTCGCTGCGAACTTGCACTTCAGCCCCTGAAGCCTCCTTGCTATGACTGCGACGCGGGCGGGGACGTTCCTCCCGGGGCCCGGTCTCGGTGTTTTCGGTCTTTGGACAATCTGTCTTGTCCTGTTCACCACCAGCAGGTGCTGTGGCTGAGGTCTTGTCCCTATCACGATGCCGGTGGTGTCTGCGTGGTGGGTCTGCATTTTCAGTTGCTTCCGTGCCCTCGGGCTTTGACTTGTTCCCTACAGGTCCCCGTAAGCCATCCCGGCCAGGCTCCACCACTAAGGGCCGGTCCATGTGTGTCTTCATGTCTGGCCTCACATGGCGCGTGCTGGCATATCTCAGGCGCTCCTCAGGGTCCATCTCACTGTACAGTGCCTCACAGCTGGCGCGCAGGTTCTGAAGCCTTAGCTGACTGGCCCGCTGCTCCCACACTGAGCGCGCCTTGGCCGAGTTCTGCTGCCTGCTGCGGGGAGACTGTCATGAGTGTCACTATCCAGCTTATCTCTGACTCACAGGGAAGCCGCAGATGAACACAAGCGATGGAGGGATGTGGGGATAGGGAAAGAGAGGTGACCAGAAGCCTTAAATACCCTGTGGTGTTGCTGATGGGGGAAGAATATGAGGAGGGGGCAGTTCAGCTCTTCCTGTCAGTGTCCTGGACGCCACTCTATCAGGAGGACAATGGCCCAGAGTCTGAAGGGTACAAGGGTGTAGGGATGCCAGGTACCAGCATCCCTACAGAATTAAGGTAAATGGGCAGCTAGCCAGAAAGGCCAAATGGGAAGGGAGACCATCTTGCAAACCGAGAAGGACTGATGGAAGTACCCCTGCAGTCTGTTTTGGGAGACAGCCCAAGAGGGGCCAGACAAATGGACACCTCTAGAGGCACTTACCCATGATATCTCCCAAGGGAGCATGAGGCCCTGTCATGTGCAAACATAGCTTCTGATGCACTTTGAAGCATCCTGACAGCCCCCACCATTTGGCTCAACCAATTATCAGGAGCCAAAGTCATGTCTGGAGCTGGGGCCATCAATGTCCTTTTCTCCCTTGACTCTGTGGAGAGCCTTACACTCCACTGAGAAGAGAGCCAGACATACCCTTGGAATCCTCCAGCAACAGGGGTGAGCAACAGTCTAGTTCAGTCATCACTGAACAATAAAAGGCCTTGTTTTCATTCAAACCTCACTGGCCCAGACATCTTCTGTTCCCACATCCAAAACATGGAGCTCTTCTCCATTCTGGGCTCTTTACTGAATAAAACCAGCAAAGGATGTGGTCCCAGCCCCACTTCTGCCAAGTGGAGAACTCACCTGAGGCTATAGCCTCATCCTCTTGAGGCTTCTGGTTAACCCTGGCAATGTCTGTGGTATCACTATCAGTGACAGCAACAATATCAGTGCTCTGGGTTGCATACCCACCTCAAACAGCCTTTACGATCACAGGTACTTTTCCTGTACCCATTTCATAAGGATGGACACTGAGCCAAGAAAGTGGGCATGACCTACTCAGGGTCCACAGTTAGTCACTCATGCATACAGGGCAGAAGGAAAGAGGTGCCTGGAGAACTCGCAAGCACTCAGTCAGACCCCAACTCCCTCAAAACACAGGTGCAGACTGTGTGTGTCCCAGGGGACAGCCCAGCCACTGGAATAGACTGTTCAGTGGAAGGACAGCAAATCTTAGCTGTTCTCTCATGTGAGGAACCAGCATCTGGCCAGTCTGAAAGTTAAAGAACAATAGAATCAGTGCCTCCTCCCCTAGGAGCTCGGGTGAGGCTGACAGCAGAGCAACAAGAAGCATCTGCTAGCTCAGGACCTCAGCATCTGCTAGCTCAGGACCTCAGCTACTACTTGTCCTTGCTCAGGCATCAAAACTGTAATATCTCTGTGCCAAGAATGCTGTATAATACCCACAGAGATCCCTTGTCCCTGGTAGGGTTCATCTTTGCACAACACTGGAAAACAAGAAAAGGAAGATATGCACCCATCTTCAAGAACCCTGGGAGGGTTGACGTTTAGTCACTATCTTGGGCCTCTCAGTCAGTCCAATACACCAAGATGGGCCTGGATTCTGAGCCCTGTGATCAGCAGAGAGCTGGCTGCCTCAAATGAGCCTTTGGGCTAGGGTCAGCATCACAGTTCTCTGTCATGAAAGACAGGCAATGAAGGCAATGCATGCATGCATAGGCCTGAAGATCCAGCTCTGTGGAATAGGCAGGAGTGGGCTCACTCAGCCCTAGTCTTGCCCCAGGTATGACCCTCTCTCAGGAACCACCTCAAGCAGAAGGAAGACAGGTTGCCCGTGAGACTGAAGGGCATCACTGGGCTTGCAGGGACCCCTCAAAACATAGAACAAAATACCAGCTAGCTGGGCAAGGGCCACCCATTCATCTCTGCTTACTGCTACAGCTTCCCCTGACTCCCGCCAGCCCACTGCTCTGGAACCAATTAACACCAGTCTGTTTCTATCTGATCCCAAACCCATAGAGATGACTAGGCTCCTCCCAGGATAGATTCCCAAGTCTCATTCTAGACATCTGTGACATCCTGCCCCTCCCCTGCCCTGGTCACTCTGCAGAGCTTTTCTTTGACCTCTGCCCACTTCAGTTAGGACAGACACCTCACTCTGTTCCTCCTTAACAACTTCATGTGTAATTCAAGATCCTCTCTTGAATGGCAAATTGCTTGCTGACCTATATTGCTATATGGCTGGCAACACTACTCAAGCAGAGTCCACATTGAATGGGGCTCTCTAAGGAGCCATGGGGAAGAGCTACTCTCATGATGTCCTGGGCCCAGCTTATACATGCTATCCAGTCATACCTGGAAGGTGAGAGGCTCTTAATGAAGGCACTGTGCACAACTCAAGGCTCAGAAAGGAATCTTGAGTCTACTGTAGTCCTGCTGTAAGGTCTCTGGGCATCTCCAGTGTGTACCACTGATACCTCACTTCTGCCATATGGAAGTTACCAAGGACCCAAAAGGCTTTCTTGCCCTCTCAGGCATCAGGGTCCCAACATCCAGTATCATCTCACACTTGTGAGGAAGACGCAGGTTGCTCTGTGATATTGTCAAAGAGGCACACAAAGCAGCCACAAGACACAGAGGGTACCTGACTATCCACGCAGAGGGCCCAACTATAAATGTTCCTTCTCTAGCATGGGGAGCCACTGGCTGAAGACAGTACCAGCACCTCCCCTGGGAGCTTGGATGAAGCCAGGAGGGAAACAGGACTGTCACTTACAGAGTCTTGGCCCCTTCCTTGAGGGAAGAATCATGATCACATTTCCCAGGAAGAGCTACCCAGGACAACTGGTCAGGCAAGTGTCACCACCAGGAGGGTCAACTTGGTTGGCTACCCACCTTACTTTCTACCCCTGTGAGTAGAATGCAGGTCCCATTCTGCTCCCAGGCCCTCAGCTCCCATCCTGGGATTTTTAGTAATCCCCTGGCCTATATACTACAAGTTCTATAGTAGCTTTGTTCATGCTAAAACAAGGGCTGCCTCAGAATAACTGACATATTCTCCCCCAAGTAAGGAGGGGTTGAGGGAGCCAAAGAATGTCCCAAGAACCCTCTCTGCCACCCCTGTGCACAGGACTTCATGAAAACCACAGAAGACCTGAGTCCACAGAGCTCCACCCTATCCAAGAAGTAGATATATACAAGGTCACAAAGACAAACAGCAGACAAAAAGGACAGAGACCAGAAGGGAGAGGAGGGCAAAGCTCAGAAAGATCTGGGCCTGTGAGTAGGACTTGGGGACAGCAGGGAACATGCCCACCATTCCCACAGAAGGCTGGGCTGGAGCTGCCCATGAAGCAAATGACTGGGGGAAAGCGGTCAGGTGTGGAGGGAAGGTGTGTGCACAGAGTTATCATGGAGCCACAGATGGAGAATCATAGCAGAACCACTCACGGTGAGTTTACGCTGGAGACAGATGAGCTGCGAGATACAGTACCTCGAGTTTGCTTTACAAAACTGCACATGCAAGAAACAAAACATAAACAGGAGTGAGAAAACCAGAGAACGTTCTGAGACACAAGTGACACTTGGGCACTACATCAGTGCAGGTGCAGGCCACAGCGCACATCTGGCAGAAGGCTAGAGGCGCATCCACCAGACAGGCACTGGCCAAGACTAAGGCTAAAGAGGAGTTGAGAACCAATTCTACATGTGCAGAAAGGTGAGGCAAAAGTGAACCAGCAGACCGTATATGGCTGGAAGATAAGACACAGTTCTCTCCGAGACCACCCGTCACCACAGCCCGGCCCACACTGCCCTAAGAAGGTGTGGTCTGGGAAGAGTTATAGCCACCTTTATAACAATTCCAAGGCTCCCACACCCAGAGACCCGGGCAGGCTGGCCTAAAGCTGTGGGGCTTGGGTGAGCACATGGCATATACAGGCGGCAAGAACACCCTTACCACGTGGGGCTATCCAGGCCCTGCCACCTACCCCACCTGCCTTTCCTGGTCTCTGCTCCCAGACCCTCAGTTCCCACACTCAAGTCCCATGACTTCCAGGTCACAATGCCTGCCCCCCCCCCCGCAGGAAGGAATCAGCCACCTTCCATGTGGCTGTTGTAGCCATTTCCAGGTGACATGTATAAGTTTTTCCAAAAATAACAGAGAAAGCAAAGATCTCTTTACAGTCATTTCCTTTCACACTGGGGATGGCCAGGAAGGCTTCCAGTGCCCCTTTCTAAAGGCCAAGATCTTTACACACTGTAAACTGAACACAGTTCATCTTCACACAATCCTCAGTGTGAGTAGGCATGTACATACATCACAATACTCATGAGAGAGTGGCTGTGTGAGATTGTGAGCATGAACATAGGACTTGTGAGTATGAGATTTTGAGTGTTTGAAATTGTGAACAGGAGATTATAAGCATATGTGTGAATGTGTGTAAGAACATGTGAATGTGAGACTATGCAAGATGTGTGATTCTGTGTGTGTGTGCGCGCACGTGTGTGTGTGTGTGTGTGTGTGTGTGTGTGTGTGTGCGTGTGTCTAGGAGACTAGGCAAGGATGAGGAGTCTCAGCAGACAGCAAGAAGATATCCCATACTTAGTGTCCTACTCCTTAGGAGCATCCATAGGGGCTACGCCAAACTGCACATTAGCCCAGCAATTCTGGAATCACTTGTCATGCTACCCAGAGTGCAGAAGGCCTCAATCCCCATGCATACTAAAGGCTGTTCAGCAGCCACACAACACTCTGGGAGACACAGCTATGAGGAACACTGCAAGACAAGAGGTTCCTGACAACCACATTCTCCCCAGTCTGGCAGAGACCACATACAACTCCTGCGCCTCAGAGGTCTTAGCATGGGTTGCAAGAGCCAGCAGCAGCAGCCTAACACTCAGTACCATGCACACAGAAAAGGCCTCTCCCAGTGTGACAGATTCCCCAGAATCTCTAGTCAAATCAGACTAACATATACTATTGTACATATCCCATTCTTGGGAATATGCCACATCTGCAATGATGTCTCCAAGCAGGGACAGTGGGGAGAGGCAGTTTCTTCTGGGCCATGCCAAGGACCCTGGACTCTCTTCCCTAGGCATCAGTCTAGAGAGGAAGCACCTCCAGGAATGGTGGCCCTAGAGCAGTGAGGGCTGCCAGAGAAGGCACATGCTAAAAAGAACATCACTTCATGCCACAGGTACACATGAGGCTGGGAGTTCATCATGCCATCCTCTCTACATCAGATAACCACCAGCTCACAGAGCTCATAAAAAGGACATGAGGAGGGACACTTGTCAGATCTCATCAATCTCAGGATCAAGTTACTGAATTAAACTGGCCAGCTAGTCAGTAATGGAACCAGATGGACAGTGCATTAACAGGATAGAACACTGAGTTCCACACGCCATCTAAGCAACAAATGCCAGGCTGCAAGTCTCCTGGCTCCCAGGAGCTCAGTCCCTATGGGCTGCAGCCATTCTAGCTGATAATTCCCAGGCCAAATGTTTTCTCTACATTTAAGAGACAAGACCTATGAAAATATTATCTGGTGATTTCTGGGAAGGAATAGAACCCATTTGGGTATACACACACATACTACACACACACACACACACACACACACACACACACTCAATAACTACACCAACATCCACAACCTACCAATTCTAACACATAATTTAGCGGTACAGGCATAAGTCACCACAAGGTGCTGAGTCAAGGCCAAGTGCCCAGCTTATAAAAAGTATATGCAGGGTGAGTATGTAGCTTCAATGCCAGCAGGGAATGCTTATCCCAAGATCCACCTATGGCTAAGCCTGGTGCCCAGCTTCCTGACTCCTCTACACTAAAATCCCCCTCCAAAGTCCCTAGCCCTCTATGAACATCAATGTACCTGAGACCCAGCTGACTGGCAGGGAGACTGGTCCTTCCCAGAGTCCACCTGCCATTTCTCATCACAGATGCCTCCATGCTAAGCACTTGCAAAGACACTTTTAGAAGTGGCTAGTCTGCCTACATGCCATCAGAACCTTTTGTTTCACAAAGTGCATTTCTAGAAAATTATGTATAAAATCTACACATGGACTCATTGTTTCCCTGACCCCAGCCAGGGCTTTCCCAAGAAAGGAGCACTAAGGCCACCCACACACCATCCAGTGAATCAAATACAGCTAACCCTACCCAACATGAGGGCCACACCCTTACACTCTGCCCATGTTCAGGCTGGGGAAAGCCATAAAGAATGCTCAAGTGAGGTCATTGCTCAGGCTCCTTTCAATACAGTTCAAGGGGGTGGCTTGTCTTCACCAGCCCTGGCCAAGGCAGGGGTTCTGGGGAAGACATAGGCTCTGCCGCTCCCCAAAGCCACCCATATTCCATTCCCGGGAGCCTTACGCAGCGATGGAGATGTTGGCAGCAGACATAGGGCTGACTTCAGCTACTTCTTTGGCCTTCTGGAGAGCAAGCTTCTGATTGGCTGCTTCTTCCATCTCCTCTTCATCCTGTTTGAATAACAAAACTGTCTTCTCAAGGTGCTGTGGCCACTCTGGGGTTACTGGCTCTTCTTCCTAACACTTCTGCCCTCCAGACCCTGCAGGAGACATCCAGGTCCTAGATGGGCAGAGTCCCTTATGACCCAGGATGAGTTCTCTTTAGTATTCTTCAAGGCCTCCCCTCCTAAGTCTCCCCTTGGAGTTACAGACAGTATCCAAGATTCCTGTATCAGTGGTGTCTAGCTTGCGCCATCTCCAGTGTGTTTCACAAGTTGATGTCTCTATATTGTGCTTGTAGTCAGACCTTATTCATGACCATCCCTATACCAGTACCACTACATATATATATATATATATGTATGTATGTATGTATGTATGTATGTATATAACACATAACACCTCAGTCTTTTCACAGCAAATCTGTCTGTCCCTCTTTCCATCCTTCTGTCCTTCTAGGAGCTCCTGAACCACTTGAACAAAGTTCACCTACCCCACAAGGCCAAGAATGAGAGCAAGATGCCAAGCTCTTCCTGTTCCACCTTTGAGTTTTTCTGCCTGAACCATTCAGATTCCATGAAGCCCCATGTGGCCTCTTGCCATTGGGATAGGACTTGTATTTATGTACCTGTCTAGGTACCTGTCTAGGAAGAGGAATCAACAGCTGACAGGCCCTCTGACCTTGACCCCATGTTACTAAGCAAAACCAACAAGCTACGCTCCAGGACTCTGAATCAATACTGCTGTTGAGTCCATAATCCAAGAAGGAAGGCCTCCATGCTCTCCATCTTAACTACCGGGCCTCCCATGGTTTCTTAAAATCCCCAAGCCTAGGCCTACCTAACTCCCCTGAAAGCTAGCATTCCTCAAAATGTACCCAAATTTTCTTGAGAAACACAAAGATGACAAAAACTAAATTCCCAGTCACTACCCAGAAAATTCCTCTATAGAGAAGACCTTCAAGCTTCCGGCCCAGGTAGGAGATAACTAGTTTTCTCATACAGCACTCTCAGCCATGTACTCTTTAAAGGTAGAAGAGCCTAATCACTCCAAGGTATATAGCAAATGCCCTAAATATCTTACAAATAATCAGTTTGAATTTATTTGCACTTCACAGAAAAATAATTAGTGCTGTAACACATTTGTGAATGTGAAAGCACTGTTTAATGTGCCCCACAGGCTCGTCTATTAAGTGCTTTGCCTTGTTTAGGAAATGGGGCCATGCTGGAAGGCATAGCTCACTAGTGAGTATCACTGGATGTTGTGTCATGATCCGGCCCCTTCCCATCCATCTCCACTTCCTAGCCACCAATAAGAAAACCACTCTGATCCACCTCAACTTTCTGCAATGCACAGGTGCCAATCTGTGCATCGGAGAACACACAGCACCCCTTACAGAGACATGGTAGTACATGGCCACACATAGGACATTTGTAATGCACCTGGTAGCAGCCTCCATACTGGAGCCAGAACTTGAATCAAAACACAAGCCTAAGCCTGACAGCAGGCAGCCTAGCTACCTAGCAGGTAGCAGGACAGGAAACTGAGGGTTAGCAGATAGGGGGTTGTGTCTTCTGGAAGGGAACCAGAGAGAGAGAGATGTGTATAATCAGGTCCCCCACTGGGCTTGTGTATAAGAAATGAATATTGAATGGTCCCCCTGGGTACTGCCTAGAGAAGGATCTGTCCTGCTGTGACACAGATGTGCAGAGACAGAACCACCACTGCTCCTGCAGCTTCCTGCCAAGCTGAACATCTGAGGTAGCACTACAGGTGTCCTCTCACTGCCCTTTCAGGTCTTCAGAGCTGAGTATTTCCTAGGGCCTGCTCATACATCTTCTTGTCTGGGAACACTCTTCACCCTCATCACACACCTGCTCAGATCACCCTATCTCAGGACCCTGTACTTCTGTGACATGGGTAGTCCTGGCCAGTCTGTACCTCCTGTGATCCTATACCCTACCCTTCTATTCACTCTCTCTTCCAAAGCCATAGCTTCTCTGGGGGCCTGTACACACATGGCCATGGCCATACTTGCTTATGTGGTAATCCGCTATACCCACAGCCCACATTAATGTCTCTTTGCTCATGACTTTAAGGAGATACCCCTAGGAGAAGCCACATGCACCCTGACACAGGAGCTGGCCTTTCCTGTAGCTTCATAACTTCATCCAGTAATGTGTACTGAATCCCATGCCTTCTAGCACCTTCTAGGATGCAGGTAGTGTTTCTACATACCTTGGTCAACTCCTGGGCATTGGCAAGATTGTCCACAGCAATGGCTAGGAAAACATTCAGCAGGGTGTCTGGTTGGCTCCAGCTAAGGAAGGGAGCCCTGTACCCCACACACTATCTCATACCATCCAACCATGGTGGCCCATGGAAGACAAAACCACCCATCAACCAAGTCCCCACTCTCTGTACCCTGACACCGTCAGCCCATTTCAGGCCCTGCTGTACAGATGCACAAGGCTCCTTCCCCCACAGCCTCTGGACTCATAAGCTGAATTGCACCTCTACAGTTTCACATAGCTCAACCTTCTCTAACATGCACGCATGCACACACACACACACATACACACAAACACACACACACACACACACAGAGAGAGAGAGAGAGAGAGAGAGAGAGAGAGAGAGAGAAATAGGAGGAGGCGAGAGTGAGCTTTTTTCTCACCTAGACCTTTGGGAATGATTCCGTAGAACCAAAGATTAAAGGTTGTGTTTAATCAATTTGCCTTTGGCTCCTTCAGAGGATACACAGCCTACCTTCCACTAAACCCAGCTCTTTTCTAGTCTGCATGAAAAGCCTTGAAACAAACACATCTGCTTTCACGAGCTCCAGAGATAGTTCTACCACCTTCTAGGGCTGTGAATATATCTTATCCAATCTAACACATAAATCCACTCATGACCAGCACCTTCCAGGGCCCAGTTCCTAAGCTAGGCTCAGGAAACCTCCCTATCTTGCAGGTTCCCTTTTTACTACTACTACTACTACTACTACTACTACTACTACTTAACTTTGTTTCATTGTGAATACCTGGGTTCCCCTGGCTAACAGGAAATGGGAGAGTGGTTACATATAGTTGGGGTCTGAGCACCCCAACACTGCACCCCACCCTGAACTAGCCCCTGAAGCCCAATGGTGAATTGTTGCCACAACCCTTTGGTAACAAAGAAGCCACAGATACACAGTCTGTATGGTGGTATGAATGACAATGATCCCCACAGGCTCATAGATTTGAATACTTGGTAACCAGAGAGTGGCATTTCTGAAAGGACTAGGAGGCATGGTCTTATTAGAGGAAATGTGTTCCTGGTAGTGGGCTCTGAGGTCTCAGAAGTGAGCCAGGCCCAGAGTCTCTCTTCCTACTGCCTTCCAACTGGACATAGCACTTTCAGCTACTTCTCCAGCATCCGTCTGCCTACATGCTGCCATGCTCCAGGCCATGATGACAATGGACTAAACCTCTGTATGAGTTGCTGTGGTCATGGTGTCCCTTCACAGTAATAGAACACTGACTAAGACAGGGTGAGATAGCCAGACTAGGTCCCAGAGTAACATAAGCGTCCTCCCGGAATCTCACCAGGACCTGGTTATTCTGTCACTGCCTCTTCTCACAAGGGAAACTGGACTTAGGTCCCTTTCATCAGGCATTCTCCCTATTGCCCTGGCCTCTAACCAGGCAAACAACAACCCAAGTCAGGCCTTCTGGCTAGTGCCAATGGCCCACAGCATTGTTACAGGAAAGTCTGCTCAGGGCTCCAGCAGCACCCAAGGGATGGGATGTCATGGTTGGGCTGACATCATGCAAGACACTTCTAAGCATTACATACTCTATGGACTAGCCCTACCACACACATTTGAGGGTCTTCCATGCCCAAAGCAAAGCTAAAGATTTTATTCCTGTGCAGAAAGAGAGAGACAGACAGAGAGAGACAGAGACACACAGAGAGACAGGCACAGAGAGAGAGACAGGCATAGAGAGAAAAAGAGAGAGAGAGAGAGAGAGAGAGAGAGAGAGAGAGAGAGAGAGAGAGAGAAGTGCATCAGAAACCACCCCAATTCAACAGGAAGGAAGACACCTGATGGCCGATATGTCTGGCCTAAGTGTCAGTGTTTAATGGCTGTGATGATTATTTTTGGTCTCAACTTGACCATATCTGGAATTTACTAAAACCCAAATATAGCAGGCACACCTATAAGGTATTTTTGCTTAATTTGAAGGATCCAGATCTTTGAGGAAGACACAACTTTAATCCAGGTCATTTGACCTGTGAAAACCCATCCCTAGTCTGGGCCACACCTTCTACTGGAAGCCTACAAGGGAAGATGGAAGGCAGCTTTTGTGCTTTGCCTGCTTGCTCTCGCCTTGCTAGCACATCCATTCCTTTACACGTTCTGGAATCCACTTCTTCAGGATTCTGGCATCTACTAAAGACCAGCTGGACTCTTGAACTTTCTGCTCATAGGCAGCCATGGTTGGATTGGTGGACCACAGCCTGTAAGTCATTCTAATAAATCCCCTTTCAATATATATAAAGTTTCTGTCTATAAATTCTGTTCCCCTAGAGAACCCTGACTAATATAACGGCTGTGGCAAGCCACTGCTTTGTCCCAGTATGAGGCTAACACTGCCGTTCCCTTTCCTCTCTGAAACCAGGGCTACACTAGCTTCCTTCCCACTGTACTCACTTGCCCTCCAGGCCTCACTCAGCCTCATGAAAGAGGATGGAACACCAGTTCTGGGCTGACTTACTTGTTTCTGGCCTCCACCATCGCCTACCACATCCTCTAAAAGGGGTTCCTTAGACCAACTTATCAGGGCCTGCTTGTGAATCTGTTATAATACACATTCTCAGATCTCAAACCAGACCTATTAATGTAGGCTGGGACCCCAGCTTTACAATCTCAGAGGTCTGCATTTCACCCTGTGGAGGCTCCATTTCTTGTCTCCAGTGCATTCAAACCACATTCACACTTGTTTCTTCTAGCCTGGCAGGCATGATAAGCCATGTGCATTCTTCTTGGCCTCAATTCTTTCCCCATGGGCTGCTACTTCTGGGTATGCCTTGGTTCAAAGAGTGGCTATCCCCACTCTCCCCTGGATGGCCTGAAGCAAAGGGAAGAGTCAAGCTCTGCAAATTTCTATTCCCAGCAGTGGAGGTTTACTTAAAGTTCAGTGCCAAAACTTACTCTGTTAAACTTAATGAGGAAGAAAGCCTCCTTCCCTACTCATTCATTTGATATCCACACCTTCTTACAAGGACTCCAAGGTTATTCAAAGTGTTTCCTGAGCCCCTGGTAACTATGTGGTCCACCCCAACCTCTAGACACCCCTTCCCCACACAGTCCCTCCATACTCAGTGCTCTGGCATCCTGGGGATATGCATCAGCCACATTCTGAAAAGGAACTGCCTAAATACTCCAGCCCCTCTGCAGGAAGCCATGAGGTGGTCACTGGAAGAGCACTGAATATGAACCACTTATACTTAGCCCCAAGAAGGATACAGTTTCCAAACAATGTCAAGACGATGAAGTAAAAGGAAGAAAACATGCCTTTGCTCACTCCACCTTGTGACTCAATCCCATGATACATTACTGCATTCCAGTCCTCCCCTGTCAGGATCTGTAGGAGGAAAACATAGAACACATTAGTATCATACCCTCATGTGCACAGTACACAGCACACATGTACACGTGAGTATATAAACACACAAACACAGACTTGAATAAGGGCACACATACATCAAAAGGCAGTGTGCCCACATACACATCTTTGGATGACAGGAATTCCAAAGGTCCAGACAACAGAGGATGGTGGCACAGGAAGGTGAAGCCATTTGGGGATCACACAGGCCACAGTATCTTTTCACTATAGAAAGCAAGGGCCAGGGAAGGAAACAAGCTGCTCAGGGCCACACGATGAAAGCTAGGCCTTTGACTCTCCTGCCGCCTTTTTGGCCATGTAGGTGCACCCTCACAGACTGAATTAATGCAATCTTTGTCCTGTCAGCAAACCATTATCTCTACTGTTATTTATTAAGTTCATTTTGAAAAGTAGAAGAAGCATGAACAGTTCCAGTCTAAGAGCCTGCACATGAGTTCTCTCACTGCCCTACCCTGCTTCTGGTCAGGTATTCTATCTGACCATTGTAAAGTATGATTTTTACATAACTTTCTAATCCGTCTGGAACCCTGAGTATTATGGGTATGATTATCCTGTTTTCTCTTAATGGAGCCCATTTTTCCAGACCCACGTTTTGAATATCCCAGCCTTCCCTGTTGAGTTCACTGTTATATTTCTCATAGAACCGGTTTTCTCTCCATGGTCCCAAAGCACCATATTCTACTTTCAGCATTTTACCATTACACATGCCATACCACCACCATAACTAGGGCCGCCCAAGAAGGTCTGGGGCTTGTTAGGACTGGTGACTCCCTTCTGAATCTTTGTTACTCTTGGATGTTTCTCATCCACATCATGATAGCTGATACAGGCAAGACACCAGGAGTTCACCTCCAGGGCTGACTTTCTAGTCTGTGTTCTGCCTGACTTGCATTGCTACGGTGGCCATGGTGTCATTATAGAAAAGTTGTTCTCCCCTGAAATGTCCTGCTTCTGCTATCAAGTGTTCCTTGAATAATATACAAAATGAATTTATAGTTAACAGGCTCAGGGCCAGAAGCACAAAGGCAGTGTCCAGATCTTTTCTTTTCTTCTTAAGCCAAGTTAAGTAATTTCTGTTTTCTTGGGGGAAAAAAAATGTATGCTTCATCTACTTTTCAAATCTGTTGGCTAAAAGCTGCCATTAAATATGGGGATTTCAAAAAAAAAACTTTTTCTTAATTATTAATCCCATTAAAGTATATAACTTGTTTGCTTTTAGATTTTGTTCATTGCATTTGAGGTTTAAATTTCATACTGGAGAGATGGCTTGGCAGTTTAGAACATTTGTTGCTCTTGAAGAAGACCCAAGTTCAATTCCCACCACCCACACGGTGGTTCACAACCAACCATTTGTCAGATTCCTTGGCACTCCAAAGCCATCTTTCTAACCCCTAATTAAGTAACACTTTAAGCAAAAACTATTTCACAGTACTCATATACATACCAAACAGATTAAGAAATTAAACATTAGTGGCTGGAGAGATGGCTTAGTAGTTAAAGCCCTTGCTGCTCTTGGAGAGGACTGAAGTTCAGTTCCCACCATCCACATCCGCAGTTCACAACTGCCTGGAACTCCAACTCCCCTCCTCTGACTTCTGTGAGCATTCACACTCACACATACCCACACAGTGATAGACACATACACATAAATTAAAATATTTTTTAAGTTTTTAAAATAAAAGTAAACATCCAAAGAGGATGAAGTCTCTTGATGGGGCTCAGTAATTTTGTTCCTCCCCCCACCAGTTACACAGTTTCCTGACTTTGGTGTTTATTGCCTCATGAAAGCTTCTTCTACTCAACATACAATACTGTATAACAACATCAAATCACCCTGAAACGTGTTTGTTCTGCTCTAAAGTACATGTGTGAGACATGTCCATGCTGACACATCTGGTCCTAGGACAACTGTTTTCCCCGGTTCCACACCACACACTCCTTATACAGTTCCTACATGATGAGCACGCCAATGATCTGGTCCTGTCATGACAGCTGGTGCTGCTAAGCCACCTGGAACACATCTGTACACCTAAGCAGGAGCACAGCTAGCACAGGAAGGGTTTCACGGGATGTTAGGAAATCACTGTCCAGCATGACTTTAACCACCCACCATCAGCACACGGGGGCTCTAAAAGCCCCATCTTTTCCAAACGCTGATGCAAGAGTTCTTAATGAAGGATGGTCACTGGGGTTTAATTTGCATCTCCCTGGATACAGCAAAAGTGACTACAGTTTTACTAGCTTTTTTCCTAGTTTATTCACCAGGCCTTCCTTTCATGTCACTGGTCTATACCTTAGCCCTCTCCTACTACAGCGTCTTTTCTTTTGATTTATAAGTGTTTTCAATACATTTTAGAAACTAATCCTTGCTATTTGCCAACACTAGGAAGATCTCTTTGGCTATGGACTTTTACAGGTATTTTAATGGTGTCTTCCAATGCACAGACACTTATTTTTATATAATCAGATTGGTTGATCATTGCTATTTTGCTGTGTGTTTATATTTTCTTTAATACCTTCCCTGCCTTTAGTTAATAATATGATATTTATGTGTACTCTGAAATTTTAGGTTTGTTTATTTTTCATACCAGGTAAATGTAGAGATCCTGCTTATGCTTTTTCAATTTTCAAATCCATTATTAGCATGTGTGAGACAGAGGAGGAGAGGAAGGGGGCATATGCATGCTGTGGTGTACATGTGGAGGAGGGGGCATGTGCATGCTGCAGTGTACATGTGGAGGAGGGGGCACATGTGTGCTGTGATGTACATGTGGAGGAGGGACATGTGTGTGCTGCCGTATACATGTGGAGGACACAGGGCAGATTTGGTCAATGAATTCTTTCCTTCTAACTTTATGTGAGACCTAGGAATTGAACTTACATTGTCAGGCTTGCACAGCAAGTGCTCTTACCCAATGGGCCATCTCTCCAGCCCAGTTTCATGCTCCTCTGTATGGCTAGCCAACTTATCCATGCCACATGCAATGGCAGCACATACATTTTATTTTGAATGAGTACTTTCCTTAATTGTCAACTCTAAACAAATCTTCAATTTCATTTTTTCTTATTCTACTGCACTAAGGCTGCTAATACTAGTATAATCTGCTGGAATTTCACACACCTGTCTCTTCACCCTATCAGATGTGCTTTGTCTCATGTTCCAATACCTTAAATAACATTATGAGTCACATTCAAGGACTCCCTAACATTAAACTGTCTTGTATTCTAGGAAAAAATGTGAGTTATTTACACAGACATTTTTTATTTTGTTCCTTATTATTTTATGATTCTGTTTTACCTTTTTTTGGGGGGGTGGTATCTTTGTTATACAGCCCAGGCTTGCCTCAAACTCATAATTATCACATCTCACCCTCCTGAATACTAGAATTACACATATGAGCAACCACGCCTAGTTTCTGTAGACAAGTTAAAGTGTGCCTAGGCGTGACTCATTTCTTTCTTCTGGATTTTTGAGCCTCTGTTTGTGATCAAGACACATGTTTTTCTTGTCTCATATTATCCTCATTTAGTATGTCGTATCAATGATAACTTAACCTCATAAAATGAGTGAGGAACTTATATATTCTCTGTATTCCACAGACTAGCAATAAGTATTTAGGAGAATTCCTGTATAAAGCCATCTTAACTTTCTGGCTTTGGTCTGGAGCGGCCCAGGCCTCCTATTTCTTCTCAGGTCAGGGTACTTTTTCTCCTTAATGGGCATCAGAAGAGCTTTCAGTCGCCACTGGCAGTCCTAGAGGACATTCTGGTCCTCCCTCATGCTCTAATTCTGAGTCACAGAATTCTGGGCTCTGAGAGAGACTGTACCCCTATATTTCAAAGTTACTTTCCATGATCTTCCAGTATCTGTCACTCATGAAACAGCCATCAGAAGAGTTGTCTTTTTGTATGAAATGTTATTCGAGGGCAGCTCCTAGGATGAGGTCTTCTGCATTGTAGTATGCTTCAGTCTAGAATTACTCTTCACTCCGTTCAGCCTCTGTGAACACATGTTCTCCGAGTCTGCCCAGAACTGACCATTTCCCTCTCTTTTTATTCATTTCCTTTTGAAGTTTCTGGAATTGAACTCAGGGTTGATGCATGCTAGGCAAAAATCTCAGTCACTAAGCTGCACCCATAGCCCCTCTGATCTCCAAGCCTAGCACATGGAATGCATAAATCCCCTTGTTTCCTGCTACAGTCAGCTCGGCATCTCTCTCTTTCAAACTCAGCTGCCCACCATCCCGTAGACAGTGTCCAGAGTGCAGTCTACCCACATTTTTTACTTTAATTGTTAGAGCTTTAATGTCTAGAATTTCTACTTAGTTCTTATTCTTTGATTTAGATGTTTTTCCTCAGTTTGGGGATTGTGAGAGTTCTTCCTTTATCCTTAAACTCAGCCCAGAACCAGGCGCACTTGCTCTGTTATTCCCTTTCCTTTAAAAGCAGTCTCGCCAAGATCTCCCAAGCTCTTGGTTAGGTAGGATAAACATAGTAAAAATGGCAATCTTACCAAAAGCAATCTACAGATTCAATGCAATCTCCATTAAAATCCCACCACAACTCTTCACCAACCTTGAAAGGATAATAATCAACTTTATATGGAAAAACAAAAGACCCAGGATAGCCAAAACAACCCTATACAATAAAAGAATGTCAGGAGGCATCACCATTCCTGACTTTAAGCTCTACTACAGAGCTATAGTTCTGAAAACAGCCTGGTATTGGCATAAAAATAGACAGGTAGACCAATGGAATCGAATTGAAAATCCTGATATTAATCCACGCACCTATGAACACCTGATTTTCGATAAAACAGCTAAAATTATACAATGGGGCAAAGACAGCATCTTCAACAAATGGTGCTGGCACAATTGGATGAGGGTGTGTAGAAGACTGCAGATAGACCCATGTCTGTCGCCATGCACAAAACTCAAGTCCAAATGGATCAAAGACCTCAACATCAATCCAGCCACATTGAACCTCTTAGAAGAGAAAGTAGGAGGTACCCTTGAACAAATTGGTATAGGAGACCGCTTCTTGAACATAACTCCAGGGGCACAGACACTGAAAGAAACAACTAATAAATGGGACCTCTTCAAACTTAGAAGCTTCTGTAAGGCAAAGGACACAGTTGACAAGACCAAACGGCAGCCCACTGACTAGGAAAAGATTTTCACTAATCCTATATCCGACAAAGGGCTGATCTCCAAAATACACAAAGAACTTGGGAAACTAGTCAACAAAACACCAAATAACCCTATTAGAAAATGGGGTACAGAACTGAAGAAAGAATTCTCAATGGAGGAAATCAAAAAGGCTGAAAGACACTTAAGAAAATGCTCCACATCCTTAGCTATCAGGGAAATGCAAATCAAAACAACTTTGAGATACCATCTTACCCCTGCCAGAATGGCTAAAATTAGAAACACCAGTGATGACTTACGTTGGAGAAGATGTGGAGAAAGTGGAACACTCCTCCACTGCTGGTGGGAGTGCAAACTCATACAGCCATTTTGGAGATCAGTATGGCGGTTCCTCAGGCAAATGGGAATTAGTTTACCACAGGACCCGGCAATCCCCCTCTTAGGCATATACCCAAAGGATTCTTACCCATGCAACAAAGACATGTGCTTAACTATGTTCATAGCAGCATTATTTGTAATAGCAAGAACCTGGAAGCAACCTAGATGCCCCTCAATTGAAGAATGGTTAATGAAGATGTGGCACATCTACACAATGGAATACTACTCTGCAGAAAAAAATAATGGTATCTTGAAATTCGCAGGCAAGTGGATGGCACTTGAAGAAACCATCCTGAATGAGGTAACCCAGTCACAAAAAGAGGAACACAGTATGTACTCACTCATATATGGATTTTAGAACTAGATCAAATGATCACCAGCCTATAATTCACATCACCAGAGGAACTAGGATACAAGGTGTATTCTAAGAGATTCATATAAAGTACCTCACAGAACTGGGAAGGGACAAGTCCCCCAGAGTTCAGGTGAAGTGGGGGAGGACAGCGAATGGAGAGAGAATTAGGAGAAAATGAGGGGGAGGAGAGGAAGGCATGTGCGACCAGGAGGATTGAGCCTGGTTAGGAATGGAAGATAGGAGAGAGAGAGAGACAGAGACAGAGAGAGAGAACATAAAAGAGGGAGCCAATATTGGTTTGAAGATAAAGTTGAACACAAAGAAAGGTCGAGAGAACTACAAGACTGCTCCCAACTAACAATCTCAGCTTCCGTGGAAAGGCTATCATAAATGCCCTTCCCGGAGAGTGAGATCAACAACTAACTTCTCCATGGAGCCCTCAACTAATGCCTGTTGAAAATAGGAGCAAACACCCATACATAAACACTGAGTCGAACTAGAACCCAGAAGCACATGGAGAGGACAAGACCATGCGGCAGAAGCTCATAGAGACAGCTTACCTGAACAAGGAGGAGCTAAGGGCCACTAGACTGATAGCTGGGAAGCCAGCAGGGGACTGACTCGGGCCCCCCTGAATATGGGTCTCAGCCAGAAGGTCTGAGCAGTCTAAGAGACCTCAGACAGTGGAGCCAGGATGTATCCCTGGTGCACAAAAGGACTTTGCAAACATATCCCCCATGGAGGGATAACTGCCTTATTCTAGAGACAGGAGAGAAGCCCTAGTCCCTACTTCACAGGACCTGTCACATCTACATGACCCCAACTGGATGGCATTCCCCTACATATGGAATTGTGGTGGGGGGTGGGAGGGGAGGGTTTTAGAGTGCATGTGAGAGGGCAGAGAGGGTAAAAGGGAGGGAAGGAAGGAGGGAGGGCTGGAGAGGAGGGAGGGAAGGAGGGAAAGGGAACTGGGATAGACATGTAAAATAATAAATTTAAAAAAAAAATGCTTTGACTCCAAAATTTAACTTGAAGAACAAGTTACTGGGGAAAAGGATTTCTATTTTTGTTTCCACAGAAAATGAAAAGATGTGGATTCCTTCCAGACTAATGTGGTTTGATCACGCCAGACCGCCTGAAACAGAGTACAAGCTGATCCTACATTCAAAACAGCTGGACAAAACAGCCCTACAGACTACAGCTAGGATATCTGAATCTTCTTCGAATCCCCCAAGATAGCGCCCCTTACCAGCTGGAAGTAGTTTGGAAAGAACGACGCCCAAATTCCCAAATATTGTGTATAAATGTTTGTTTTCATTTAATTGGACTTTGTTATATAAAATTAAATAAAAAAATTATTAAAAAAAAAAAATAAAAGCAGTCTCGCCTCCCAACTGAGGGTGCTGCCCCCTAGGGTGTCAGTGTTCCACAGTGTTTAATTTGCTGGCCCCCATGAGCAAATCAAAGGATTTTTTGCTCACTCCTTTGTACCCTCCCATCCACACTTCTATCCTAGTCCAGAGGCAGGCTCTCCCATCCTGGATTGAGGACTCTAGTTCAAAGACATCCTGTTGAGGACAGGTTGGCCTGTCAACATCTCTGGCCTCCTCCAGTAATCGGTGCACACAACACTGATGAATGGTACCCAAATGCTCTGCTGCTGTGCTCAGAGCAGAAGGTACGTGAGGATACACTAATTAGTGTTTGTCAGCTTGAACCTCCACTAAGGAAAAGCCTTCATCAGATTGATCTGAGTGGCATTTTCTCTATCAATGACTGATGGGGGAGGTCCTATCCCACTCTGTCCAGGTGGTCCCGGGAGCTATAGGAAAGGTAGTTGACCATGAGACTGAAAACAAAGCAGGCACAGTTTTCCTCCATGGCTTCTATCTTTGCTCTTACCCCGACTCAGTGATGGACTGTGACATGGAAGTATAAGCCAAATAAACCCTTGGTTTTAGTGATAGTGTTTATCATAGCAACAGAAAATAAACTAGAGCAGAGGTCTAGTCAGAGCCCTTGGGACAAAGAGAACCAGTTCTTCTAGCTGTGCCCCCACTATGCTTAGTTCCTTGCTGGCAACAAACACAAAAAGCAGAGTCACAATAAGCACATTGCCCACCATGATCTGGAGCCACACCAGAGCTCCCACTGGGTAGAACCTGTCAAAACCTGATTGCTTACAGGGCCCTCTAACCTGGCCTCCAAACCCTTGGGTTGGGTCAATGGCAGCTCTGTCAACATGCTCGCTGCAGGCCTTGGGATGTGGTTCTCCTAGCTTTCCTCCTTGGTACCTGGGTACCTCAGACCCATGAACCATACGAAGAAGCTCTCCCTCCCATCATGAGCAAATACTCCCCAAGTACACACAATGTACTCTGCAAGAACCCAGGCTAGATCAACATTCTTCTGTCTCTAGAAGTTGGCAGGCCCTATCCCACACTAGAGGCTCAAACTCTGAAAGCCGCTGACCTGCTAGCAAGCCAAAGTACCTTCCTGGATATGCGTGAGAGAAAGGGAGCCCATGGAAAAAGGACAGGGACATTGGAATCCAAGGACAGGGCCAGGATATGAATCCCAGGATGAAACCACTCTCTTAGCAGGTCACTGATTGGGTTTAGATCATCAAGGAAATGTCCTCCCTCTGGGGGGGGCGGGGAGCAAAGGCTCTTCCACACATGTGGCCTCAGCTCTGAGCTTAGCTCAGCCTCTTTACAGGCCAAGAGCTAAGCCAAATCCCATCCAGCCTGTCAGTTTCCCTCCAAGCAGTTCTCATGACAGGCTGGTAGCTCATTCTGTACTGGACTGGCAGCATTAGAAGACTAACTATCAAAGGAAAAAGTATACAACCACAAGTACCCAAAATGAAACTATCTAAGAGAGGAGGTGATCACTTGAGCCAACAAAGGCCCCATCAAATAGACAATAATCCCACAGCCATGGCTTTTCAGGGGGCATTGGTACGCACATATTCCAGAATGAAAGAGAATAGGGGGGCATTGTACCTGAGACCCTACAGGAGAAGTTCAGGAAGAGCTTTGGTTTTGTTCTGAGGATCAAAAACAAGTGGTTTCAGGCTTTAGAGCTAATAAACTGGTGGTCGGTCATGAACACACACTCAAGAAAGCTTCACTCACCCCCGCCCCAGATTGGCCACACACCTTCCCTTGACACCCAGACCCAGGACTCATCTTTTGTTATGTAGTTATGTTTAAATATGGACTCCTAACTTCACTAACTCTTTCCTAGCTCCTGGGGGAGATGAGAACCACAGAGAGAGCAAAAAGCCTCACCTGAAAGACAGTGAGGATGGCAGCAGGGAAGGTATCGAAATTGGTGGTCGGGGTCTCATCTTGAAAGTTGAACCTGAAAGAAAAGAGAAGTCTTGAGCAGAACAAATCCCATCAGGAGCCAGGGGACCAGTCCCTTGACATCAGCATGCTCCATCCAGGTGCTCTTGGTGTTCTCATCCCTATTGGAGGATCTTTGGGAAGGAGGCAGGTGGAATAGGCCTGGGGTAGCAGTATCTGTTCTGAGCTCTGCCTCCCCAGGGGCCCTGGCCTGCCCTCCTACTCCTGGCTACTTACTGTCCCCCAAACAGCTGCATCCCCAACAGAGCGAAGACCACAATGAAGAGGAAAAGCAGGAAGAGGAGGCTGATGATGGACTTCATGGAATTGAGGAGGGATACCACCAGGTTCCTCAGGGAGTTCCAATACCTGTCAGGCAGGAAGGACGGCTGAAGCCTTGCTGGGCTACCACAGCACTGCATCACACTCATCCAGGCTCCCTGTATTCCAGCTGAGCCCCAGCTCACACATGAAGCAAACATCTCTCCAGGAATCAAACCCATAGTCCTGGACCCTCAATCCAGCCATGTGATAGCAACAGCAGACTCAAGTGACTGTAGTGCTGGACTCACCCGCAATCCCATACTGCACCATTCTCCTTAAATCACTGCCTGTTAGGTGGCCAGGTCCAAATCCATACTTCACACTCCCCAACCTCTAGCTCAGTGGTTCTCAACCTTCTAATGCTGCAACCCTTTAAAGGTTCCTCATGCTATGGTGACTCGCAACCGTATAATTATTTTCAATGTAGTTTTGTTACTGTTATGAATTATAATGTAAATACATGTGTTTTCTGATGGTCTTAGGTGACCCTTGTGAAAGGGTCACAGTTTGAGAACTGCTGCTCTAGCTCCTTCACCACCCAAGGTTCAATCAGCCAGCCAAGTTATGGCTGACCTGGTGTTTCTTAAGGCCCTTTTCACCACACTCCTTGAAGAGAAAATATGACTCCCTGATTCATACCCAATCTCCATGGCATACAGAGCCATCTATACCTGTAATGACATTGCTGCTGAGTGATAGCTCCAATTGTCATCCTAGCCTCTAGACTGTTTCTCCCAAGAGCCTTCAGCCTTCCCCCAGGGACAGACACCATCAGCCCCTGCACCTTTGCAATACTATTCTGTCACCGTAGCATAGGGGATGAAGGACAGCAGAACAGATGCCTGTGCTCACCCTCTTAAGGGTTTCTTGGGGGCTCTGCTGCACTCTCCCACCCCTGTCCCCATGTGAGGAGCCCAGGCATCCTCCACAGCTTCTCTTACAAGTAACACAAGTGATTCAGGAGTATCTGAAAACTCATGAAGGGTCCAGCCTTCTGGCCTGGAAAGGGTCAGCCTGCCTCAGGAACAAGGATCACTAACCTCCTTGGGAGGACCTGAAGGCCCAAGACTTGGGTAAGGGCATTTTTTTTTTCTGGAGCTTCTCTTACCAGCACCCCACAGGTGCTCCAGGAAGACAGAAGACAGGTCAGAGGACATGCTCAGCACATTTGTGAACCTAACTGAACAGAATTCCTGCACCAAGCCTCTTGTTCATGCATCTCTGTCCTCAGTTAGGAGTTGGAATTTAAAATAGGAAGGGACTAACAGAACTCCAGTCTACCTACGTAATGCATGGGCTCAGTGTCAATAGTTTTGGCACCACAGCTACTGGGACACATGGACTTCTGAAACAGAGAAAGCACAGCCCATGCCAGCCCCTGCTACTGATAAGACCACTGTGGAGAGGGTCCTCCCTCTCCCCCTCCTTCTACCTGCATGGTAAGCAGAGGGTCTCAGCCACACGCTTTATCTCACATCTTCCTGGGCTCCAGTCTCCTCATGGACAAATGAAACAACTTTCTTCCAGAGTTAAGATTTATGTGGAATGGAACTAAAAATGGAGTCTTATTACTATCATAATTACCAAAGCTGGAATCAGGAGGGTGGAGAAATCCATCCTGGGAAAAGGTGCCATATAGGCATGGCTGCCATGAGGTAAGGGCCAAGGCTACCCACCCTCTGCACACTGGGTGGGCAAACCTGGGACAGGACAATGGGGACATTTCTGAGAACTTCTGCTTTCCTTTATTTTTATTAGCATGTATTTGTAAAGCCATTTTCTTTCAAATGTATTGTAATTTTTTGTCACATTCACCCCTCACACTCTCTAGCTACTTTCCTTCCTTCCACCAGATGGTCCTGTTTCTATTTTGACGTTGTATGTGTAGAACACATAAATGAGAAAAAACATACAATACATGTCTTTCTGAATCTGACTTATTCAGTATACTTAATATGGTGACCTCTAGTTATATCCTTTTTTAAAAAAAATCCTGGTTTCTCTCTTCATTATAAAGTCCCCTTTGAAGAATTGGAAGATAGGACTGGTAGCTCCAAGAGGAGTTGGTATAAAATTGCATGTGGGACAAATGATAAAGAGAACCAGGAAAATGACCATAGCACTGTGGACAGTGGGGACAGCCCTAAAGACGCCCTAAGGCCCAAAGGCTCCTGCCATCATAGTCCCTGTATGTGTTAAGCCCGTAAGCTACAGCATAAGCTTCCAGATACCATTCATCCCCACATAATCCAGCCTCACATGTGGCCTCCATCCATTTCCCCCAACAAGGAGCACAGAGATGACATACTTTGTGACTTTGAAAATCCTCAGTAGTCGGAGAGCCCGTAGCACACTGATTCCAAAGGAGGTTCCCGGTTTGATGGCAGCCCAGACTACTTCAAAGATACTCCCCACAATCACCTGAAACAGACAGCATCAACACAGGGCACATCTGTACCTGGACACATGTGCATACATGGATGAAACCGACAAACACATGGACATGTCCTAGCATGTGCACTGGTGTAGCTGCATCTCTTAGTAAACACCTGCCCTACCTCCTGTTTCACTAGCATGTGTGTTACAGGGGTTTGGTACCCAGAGAATGTTGCATAAGCCACAGATACCGTGGTGTCTATCTTGGTGTTCTGGGCTCTTCTTCCCAAATCACCCAACAAACGGCTGCAATAACATTCTAGTAGCCTGTGGAAGCACTTGGGCGGGTCACCAGAAACACTACTTGTGGCAGGTGACCAGGAGCAGAGCTTGTGGCTGGCTGGGCAGCGAGCCTGGTCAACAGCCTCAAGATGAGCCTGGAGTGAATTCTCTAAACCCAGATGAACCTGGGGTAATGTGAGACCTCATTAGAGACTGTGCCAGAGGCATTCAGGTGGGTCACACTAGACTTTGTCACTCACAGACACAGTGAGGCATTAATTGTTTATTGCTTTAAGCCACTCACGATTGAGATAATGTCTCCAAGCAGGAAAAATCAGCATGGGTTTTAGAAACAGAGTAGGGCACTGTTGTGATAAAACAAAACAGTAGTAGTAGTTTTGGAGTCAGTGAAAATGTAAAGTGTCCTGGACACTGGGGACACTGCCCACCAAGAACACAAGGAATATCTTGTAGACAACCAGAGGTGATGTGCCATGGCCCCCTGGTAAGACATCTGGCCACATTGCTGCCTGCAGATGTGGGAAGAGTATAAAATGAGTTCAATAGACTGTGAGGTAAAATCTGCTCTGGAGATTTCCAAGCCAAGCTCTATGGAACTGCCTGGACTGTTTCTACTTAGGTCAAATGTAAAAGGCAAGATTAATCAACAGAAGGGAGCCAGGATCTGCTGGTTCAGCAAATGCCCAGCCTTTCCAAATAACAAATGGTGCCAACATTGAGAAAGGGCATGGTTTAAAGATGATTCCAAGAGTAACACCATGACTTCCATTTGGATCTGAAAAGAGCTAAAGGCAGTTCTGATAAGGAAATCAAATCCTAACTCCCAACTTGGTTAGTGTGTGCCTCCCAGGCCAGTTGGAAGGGAGTCAGGGGGATAGGGTGTACTTTCTACTTAGCCTTGAGGTAATAAGACATTGGGGTTCACTACCAACTCTTAACTGAGGAGGTAAGACATTGGGGTACACTATCAACTCTGAACTGAGGAGGTAAGACATTGGGGTACACTATCAACTTTGTACTGAGGAGGTAAGACTCTGGGGAGCATTACCAACTCTGTACTGAGGACATATGAGACTGGGGTATGATCCCTACTCACTCCTGAGACTGTGAGTGCCCCAAGATGCTAAAAGATGCTAACCTTAATGTACCTCAAGGAAACAGGAGCAAAGAACCTGTTCTGTGGGAGTTGGTCTTTATCTAATGGGGTAAACTCCAGGAAGGTCTATGATACAGCCATAAAAATAACCTCAAATGACCAATATTCCCTTAAAGGAAGAGCATATAGAGGCATACCAGGGTGGCTGAAAAGGACAAAGCACTACAAAACAAACTAGGTCTCTGGGGCTAGAGAGAATGCTCAGTCACTGAGCACATATACTGGTCATGCAGAAAAGCTGAGCCTGCCTCCCAGTTCCCACTCAGGATGGCTCACAATCCCTTGGAACTTCAGCTCTGGGGACATCTGACACCCCTAGCCTCCATAGGCACCTATATACACATAATTAAAAATAAATCCTTTTTTTAAAGTAAGTCTTTTGATTCCCAAAACCCATTGATAGGGACAGGTTGAGAAAACTGTCCAGCTGCAAATATGCACTGCTTTTCACAGGAAGAGAAAGAGCTCCAGAGACAGAACCCAAAGCCCCGAGGACACCCAGGCTGTAAGCAGCTGAGATCCCAGCTCTCATTCCCTCTCCATACCTGTGGTTCTCTGTGCTTCCTATAGGCCACTGCTAAGGGGTTGGATCCTGGCTGGGAAGGAGGTCACTTGCCACAGTTTCACACACCAGCAGACTGACAACTTCAAAAACTGCACACTTGAGCCTAGAGGAAACCTCCACTCTATACTGAAGTCTCCTTCCATCTGGCCAAGTCTCCTTCCCTGTCTCCTTCCAGCTTTCCAAGTCACTCCATGTGGCATGGGCCTCCACACATCATCTCAGCAGGTGCCAACAGGACCAATCCTGGGGCTTCCGGCTAAGCACATCTTGCATGTTCTATTGTGCGGCCCCTCCCTGAGGCTGGTCTCTACTCTCTAGGTGAGCCACAGCAACAGCTCTCACTGAGGTCTCTCTGATCCACAGAGATTAGGAGGTGACTAGGCCAGGCCTTCCACACTCTCCCCAAAAAGGCAAGCCCAGCACAGCATACTGTTCTTTCTCAAAATCACAAGTACAGGTCCCCAGGCCAGACTACAGGGTGCTGGACCACTGTCCCCAAGCACTACTGGGAAAAACTGAGCCACTAAGTGCCAAGGTCCCAGGTATAGAAAGAGCTACAGAGCTTAGGGTAATGTCAGTCTACACATATGATCAGAGGGGAAAGGGCATATTCTTCACGGAAGCAGCTGTGACATTATGGCTACTATGAAGAGCTAGGACAGGCCTCCTTCTACAACTCCTATTACCTCCCAGTCTCTAGCAGGCTTTCCGGCCAGCACAGGATCACAGAGCCCACTCTCAGTCTGTGCATAGCTCAGACTCACTCAAAAGAAAGGACCTAGTGAGGCATCTTACTCACCCCAAAGTCAAAGCAGTTGAAGGAAGACCTAAAGTAGCTTCGAGGCCCTAGGCCATACATCTTCAGGGACATCTCCGTGAGGAAGAGACCCAGGAAAACAAACTCTGCAAAATCTAGGAGAAGTCAGAGAAGAGAAGGTTTAGCTCAGGCTCCTCTCACCTGGCCTCGAGCCTAAACTTTACATCACCGCACCTCTGAGCCTTTTAGGCTTGGTATGCACTCCCCTACTCTGGCCACATCTCAGGAGAGGGATAAAGATGAGATGTGCCAGTTTCAGTCTATATGGTAACAAGGGCTCAGTGTCTGTAAGACATGACTACAGGATCAACTCAGAAGTGAGCTGCCTCGGGATACTTCAGAGGAGGCTGGGACCATAAGGCTGGGCACAGCCCAATGGCCCCCTCTACATTGTTCATGTTCCAGTTCCTTGCTCTACCTTCTATCATGTTCCAGTCTCCATTAGGGATCAGCCTCCTCATAAGAGTCTCCCATAAACACTTCCTGAGCCTCTTTCTTAGGACCCCAAGAGAACCAGGTTTGATTTGAACTTTACTCATGTGTTCACTTCAACTGCTAAATGGAAAACTCTCCACCATCCATCTAGTATGAACTCCCAAAGATACCAACAGTTTTTGTAACCTCTAATCAGGGAAGTAACTCAGGGCCCAGAGCAGAGCCACATAGAGCTCCAAGTCCCAACAAAGAAGCAAAGATGAACTTCCAAGTGCTCTGTCACCAGAAAGCCACCAGCCTAAGCATCCGTCAAGAATGTGGCTCCTAATAAGACAGACAGTAGAAGAGCACTCATTCTCCAAGCCAGTATACCCTGAGATTTGCCTGCACCCACCACTCTGCCAAGGTTGTTCTATGAAGATCCAAATGTTTCAGCTGGGGGCAAGTTTGCAGCAGCTGTGATGCTAATCATAGCATCATACAAACAGAGATAGGGGTCCAATAGTCATAGCATCATACAGAGGCAGGGGTTCATTTTATATCCCAAAAGCAACCCAACCCAATAAGTGTATCCTCAGAGCCACTGGGAAAACTGTCAGGCACCCATTTCTAGCATAGGATGCTAAGAAGTAGGCTGAGGAGCCTGCCAGAGACAGGACCTTCCCCAGTCAGGCTTGATACTGCCCAAGTGACCAACACCCAACCTAAATGTCCTAGTCAGCAGGTATGAAGTATAGGGGGAAAACTATAGCTATCCCTACCAGCCTGAACAGCTCAGCAGACAAAGGACAAAGGATAGCAGAATGGAGGGACCCAACTCTCCTATCTGAAGCCCAAAGTACCTCTATACCCAAAAGAGCAACACCTATGCCACTGAGCTCCCCCATAGAAACTGCCATACCTGCCACCTGTGCACTAAAGTGAGGCTGTCCACACACTGAGCTTGCTCTTCAGAAAAAAATACAATAAGAATTGCCCAGGGTTAAACTTTCAAGGAAAGAGGTCAAAAACACCCTTATATCCTGTCAAAATGGCCACAGAATTAGACCTCCCTCTGAAGCAATAAAGGGGTTCCCTCATTCATTCCTGTATTATTCATTCAACTGCCACCAGAGCTGCTGGCAGCTGGCGTGGGAGGCAATACTCATTGTTTTCTGCAGGGATTACAAGATAGAGAGAAACAGAGAGATTAGTAAATGTGTTTTTCTAAGGTCAGTAAATGGCTCAGTGGTAAAGGCACTTGTCATCAAGCCTGACAGCCTGAGTTTGACTCTCCACAGTGAAAGGAGCAAATTAACTCCCATAAACTGTCCTCTGTTCTCTGCACACACAAATGGTTTTCAAAAACTTGTTTTATTTGGGGGTTTTGTTTATTCTTTATAGTAAGGGGCCAGAATGCCATGGGAACAGCAGGTGTCTATCTAATGGTTTAGACTTCATAGGGCTCATGGGGCAAGGCTCAACAGCTTCCCCTTCGCCATCCAAGCTTTAGTTTCAGAAGTCCTAGTAGTGTTCTGGAGTCATTAGGGGATGGGCAGACAGACAGACAGACACACAGACAGACAGACAGAGCCCATCTATAGTGTAGCAGAGCTCCTATTGGTCTGTGTAAGGTACGACACTCCCTCAGCCTCTGGCAAGCCTGCCCTACCTTACCGGGCCAGTCCAGCTATCAAAGACAAAACCTCAGACACTAGGTAGAAACATTCAGATCCTGTAAGGGTCCAATGTCCTTCAGCAATTTTCCCTCAATGAGGTCAAGAGAGCTAGGGATTACAGGGAACCACTTGGAAGAGAAAGCACTGAAACACCAAGGGCACATCCCCTGGCAGGCCCATCTGTGGCCTAACCCAACTTTGACGCAGTTCTAGCCTTGTGCCCCCATACATCAGAGAGGCAAGCAGACAATGCCCCCACAACATATACACGACACCTGCTCAGACAGAAAACACCCAGGAGTAACTCAGTCTGACAAGATACCACAGCTTCCATGAGAGAAGTGCAAGCCTGAAACCAAGAGAGCAGGCATCAGATTCTTCAGTTCCCACCCAACCACAGTGGTGGCAAAAACATGAGCCTGGAGAGCCAACATAAACAATGAACTTGGTCTCAAGACAACAAACCACCAGCCCTTGGACACAGGCCCTGGAGGCCAGGACCTGCTGCTACATGATACACACTAACCCTGACCTTCACCCTACCCTGGAAGAGACAGCTGATGCCACCTCTATTCCTTTAGCCTCTGCTGCCTCCCCACCTTTACCCTATGAGGCAAGTAATAGATTTCAACACAGAAGTTTAGGAAGCTATAGCTTATAATCCTACTCCCAAAACAATATGCACATGCATGCATGTGACTGACTCAGATGGGAGCCCTTCAGGGGATGAGCAAGCTTAGTGGTTCAGCGAGTAGGAGTGTGGTAACAAAAGGGCCACCATCAGGGAAGAACACTCCATCAGCAGAGGCCAGGATGAAGACTCATTAGGTCAGAAAGGGCTCTCCTGAAGGGCTCAGGCAACTTCTGGCACACAGAGCCCCTCTGGAGAAAGTGAACATACATTAGGTCCTATTCCTTCATACCCACTGCAGACAACAAGAAGAGCGAGAAAACGGAAAGCAGCACACTGACTGCAGAAAGATTGTTAGTGGAGTCTTTAACACTTGAGTGAGGCTGTTCCCCATGTGACATGGGGATCATTCTCCAAGGATCAGTTCTGATACCAGACAAGCAAAAGAGTCTCAACCCTCCAGCATCCTCCTGTGTGCATTCTCTGAACTGTAGCTGGGGCCAGCTAAACATGACTCAAGTCCCAGTGAACAGTGACTAGTGAGGGGCTCATGACATGAGACAGTAAGTTGGCCCTGTGGGGAACATGGAAACTCCCCCAACTCAGCCCACAGTAGAGACAGAGTGATCAGAAGAACCCTGGGAGAATATAGAAACCCAACTCTGCCTCCCCAGGCATCCAGGGTAGGCAAGGAACTAAGTCACTGATGACTGAGTCTGCTAATCTGGCTTGCCCCTGGTCATGCCAAGATCTAACCCCCTAAGGACCCCTCATTTCCTATCATAATACAATCATGATGATCATTTAACCAGATCAATTAAGAATGAGGGGGATCTTCAGGTTCTGAACATAGGCCATGCCCATGACTCTGCAGCAGAGATGGGGTACCATCCAGAGTATCCAGCACAAGTGTTTCCAGGGTACAGAGTAGAGGGTCAGGAAGGGCCCTGGAGAGGGGCTCGAGTACGTACACAGTGCAGTGGTAAGCCGCTGGGGCTGATTATAGTGCACCATGGCCACGCACAGTGTATTCAGGGCCACCACGCACAGGACCACCCAGTAGAAGCTCTGTGCTTTCACCATACGCCTGATGAAGAACCGGAACATCTTCTCCTTCCTCCGGAAGTATGATGAGCTCTCCGTCTTTCCACTCTTGAGGCTGGCACGAGCAAATGGAGACCCTGCAGGACAAGGCTTGATGAGAGCTCATGGAACAGTGGGCTCCCAGGATAAGAAACCACCCACCTTTAGGCATCCCCCTCAGGTATATGCCCACTCTTGAGCATTCTGAAGACATCACTGGGCTGCTTATCTCCATGTCCCTGAACGGATTCTAGCCTTTTCTCATTTCTCAGATGAGGGAGTCCAGGACTACTAGGTACCAGACCAGATGATCAACTATCAGTGTTCTCTGGTCTTCAGGACCCTGGCCAACTTGCAAAAGACAGCTCTGACATGGGTACCCTCTTTAGGTACTCCAAGATTTTCTCAAAGATATAAACCCCACCATTAATCCCATCTTTGGGACTTTGGAGCTCTGTAGTCTCTAGCCTTCCCTTTTCCCCCATCAACTGGGATCAGTAACCACTGTCCACTTGCTTCTTAATCAACCCCTCTAGAACACAGCTAAATGTGTTATGTGTGGTGGCAGCTACTATCTTGTCCAGAGCCCTAAATACTCATGGTCTAGAAAATTTGCTGACCCTGCTGTAATCTGATTCCCAACATAACCAAACGGCCACCTTATTCCACCCCCAACACTCACTGTTCTTGCTCTACCTTGACTTCTTTACACAGTGGCTCCTGGGTTTGGGTCTTGGCTTCAATGTTACTTCCACAGTGTCCTTTTCTGACACTTGATCTAAAACACTCCCAACAATGTCAATTCATCACCAACAATCACTGTGTTTGTCAATGAGCCCTGTTCACAGAGATGGTGCCGATAAATGTGACATATAAGTGAGACTGGTTTCTGGGTACCTGAAGGTTCTGGATGAGTGGCTACATACTCACACAGCACAAAGAAACCTCAGCACACATCTAGCACCTGGCCAGGCTCACTCTGGTTGGAGACCGAATCAGATGCTCACATATTCACCAGGCACACAGAAGGAACGTATGTATATGCACAAGGCTACTCACAATATAGATAACTTGCAAACCACTGTGAGTGAATGGCTCAACAAAGTCTCAGGGCAGACAACAAGGTCATCTACACCTACCCACCATACCATCCAAGAAAGGGACAGTAAGACTGTAAGGCTTCACAGATACTCCAGACACAGATACATGGAAGCCTGGTGCCCTGGGCAGGAAGCATGGCAACAAAAGCAACAAGACCAATATCCCTCTAGGGCACTTTGTGAACCTGGGTCTCTGAGAGCATTTCCCAGTAGACAGGCAATGCGTACTCAAGTCTGCTCTCGACAGTAGACCAGTGAGGTCTGTGGTAAACACACCATTCCCATTGTAGGCTATTCACACTGTAGGGAAACCATAGAGACCAAGACCCCGTTTCACTCTTCTGTGTGTCCCAGGCATAGCTATAATGCATTATCTATAATGAAATAAAAACATGTCTTTTAAGAAAAACAAGATCTGATATCTTCAAGCTACAGGTATTGGAGAGTTAAAATCATTCATGAATGACAGCAGGGCCCAGACAGCTATGCACAAAGACTCCCTTCACTCAACTATGAGGAGCATCAATGAGTCTGGGTCCTCACAAGCCCTCATCATGACTAGTTCAACAACATGTATATACAGATACATGAGTGGGTTATCCCCACCAGGCTCTAAGAAAGGTACAGAAAACAAAGGATTACCAAGATTCACATTGCCATTGACTATCTAAGAGCACTGAAAAGAAAGAAGGCTCCAAGCTTCCTTCCAGCCTAGCTGGCCATCCCAGGGTGTGGGATTGAAAGTGACATAGTACAAACAACACACCAACATCCTTGGGCTCTGTCAGGGTGGGACATAATCTCACAGTCCTATTTAAGGATAGAACAAAGTTAATCGAAAGGAAAGGAAACTCAGAGAAAGAAAGAATCTATGGTGGTTTGAATAAGAATGGTCCTCATAGGTTCATGTACTTGAATGCTTGGCTCCCTCCCAGTGGGTAGAATGTTTAGGAAGGGTTACAAGGTGTGGCCTTGTTGGGGGAGGTGTGTCACTAGGGATGAGATTTTGAAATCAGGCCCAGTCTTGCCTCTCTCTGCCTCCATCTTGGGATGTGGGATGATGTCCTGGATGCTGTGAATATGTGTTCACCTATAACCTTATGAATCAGATGTAAACTCTCAGCTACTGCTCCAGCACTGTGTCTGCCTGCCTGCCACCATGCTTCCCACCATGATGGTCATGGACTCACCCCCTGAAATGCTGAACGAGGCTCCAGTGAAATGCTTTCTCTTTAAGTTGCCTTGGTCATAGTGTCTCTTCACAGAAACATAACAATTAACTAAGACAGATACTTCAGAAAAAAATAATTCCATTTCTAAGCCCTTCAGTTGGTGAAGAGAAATGAAATAAACAGATGGACAAGCAGTCCCACTAATGGTAAGCCTGAGCCTGACACTGAGGAGGAAGAGGGAGGTCAACAGTAACCAATGACTATGATGGAGCCACAGCCCTAGAGCCAAGAAGGAACTGTCCACAGCAGCCCAGGTATCTCCAGGTGATGATCAAGGAAAAGCACAAGAACCATGGGCCTCAGAGTCTGCATCCTAACACCCTGCTGAGGGAAACAAGCAGACCAGCAGCACAGTGGGAAAGCAGGAAACTATTTGGTGAGGAAAAACTAAAGAAGAGATGGAGGGGAAGAGGCTCTCAGGGTAGAGGATCCTGAGGAAGCTCACAGCAGGATGCTAAGCAAGGGACCAACAGTGTGCAGAAGCTCTGCAAAGGTCACACCCTCCTAGGTTAGAGGTGGAGCAGAATAAGTGGAAACAACATTTTAGTGACTGAAACAAGGCATCTCAAAGGTAAAGAAGGAAAATAAATACACGAGAAAATCCTTCGTAATTATGAGAGCAAGTAAGGAAAAAGCCCATCTGTGGAATGGAACTAAAAACTAGACATGGGCAAAGGAACAGGGAACATGGCAAAAATGAATTTGATCCAGGCACAAAATAGCAATGAGAACCAGACACCACAGAAATAATAATACAAATAATAAATATGAAGCAACAAGGAAAGAAATCACATTAGACCACAAGACTAGGACTTGAAGAGAAAAGCCAAAGCCAGTTAAACACATTTTATAAAGGAACTTGATATATGTGCTGGCTAGTCATATATAGAAAATGCCTTCATAAAATCTAGCTGTAGGGCATTTTCTCAATTAGTGATTGATAGGGGAGGCCCCAGCCCATTGTGAGTGGTACCATTCCTGGATTGGTGGTCCTGGGTTCTATTTGAAAGAAGGCTTAACAAGCAGCCAATACTCAGCACCTCTCCATGGCCTCTACATTAGCTCCTGCCTCCAGGCCCCTGCCCTGCTTGAGTTCTTGTCCCCACTTTCTTCAGTGATAGACTATGATGTGAAAGTATAAGCCAAACAAATCCTTTCCTCCAGAACTTGCTTTAGGTCATTGTGCTTCACTGTAGCAATAAGAACTCTAACTAAGACAATATTCTAAAGAAGAATAAAAAAGAAAAAGTAAAAAAAAAATACCAGATAGATGCAATCCAAACCCAATGATAGCAAACAGAAACAACAGAACAGTGGCATCATGTCAGACAAGATCAAGGCTAGGTATCATGTATGTAATCCCAGCACTTGGTAGGTGAGTGGCAGATACAGGAGGACCACCATGAGTTCAATGCCAGACTGGACTATACAGTGAGTTTCAGGCCAGCATGAGGAGTTACAGAGTTAGAACTTTTCTAAGTGTCCAGTAGAGTAAAAACAGCCCCTGTGTGATGACATAGAAAGAATTAAGGTTTTTGTGCTGAGAATTTTCTTAATTTGATTTTTTGCTTAACTTTGATAAATTGTACTGATAATACATTTTAAATAAAATTGTAACAGACAGAAATCAAAGAACTAGGAATTTAATTAATAAGCTTAATAACTCTCAGCTCCAGGACATAGACTTTTTTATGACAATGAAACATTAAGACTAGTTACAAACCTTAATTTGAAAATGTTCAATTAAGGAGATTTATAGGCCACATTTCTCCATCATTATCTGATATAATTTTATCAAATTAAAAATCATTCATACATTGCCCCTACTCATCAATTAAGCAAACTCCTACACAACCTCTGACTCAAAGAGGGAAGTAGAGAATATGATGTACATATCAACAGATATGTACAGAGAGGAAACCCAAATGCCCTCATTATTAATGAAGAAAGAAAAAATGAAAAAAGTGACCTGTTTTTAAGAAATTAGGAAGGGGCTAGAAAGATGGCTCAACTGTTAAGATCACTGGCTGCTCTTGCAGAGAACCCAGGTTTGGTTCCCAGCACCCACGTGTGGACTCACAACTATCCAAAGGCACACTCATGGTTGCATATATATTTATGCAGGCAAAATATCCATGCACATAAAATAAGTTATTTGTTTGTTTGTTTGTTTGGGTTTTTTCGAGACAGGGTTTTTCTGTATTGGTTTGGAGCCTGTCCTAGAACTTGCTCTGTAGACCAGGCTGGCCTCGAACTCACAGAGATCCGCCTGTCTCTGCCTCCCGAGTGCTGGGATTAAAGGCATGCACCACCAATGCCCAGCAAAATTTTAAAAGTAGAACTGGAGGGAAAGCTCAGTGGTTAAGACTACTTAGTGTTCTTGCAGAGGTCCCAGGTTCAGTTCCAGGCACCCGCATCAGGCAGCTCACTGCCACTTGTTACTCTAGTTCCAGGAGATCCAATGTCCTCTGTCCTCTGACCCTGCACCCAAGTGGCACACATAAATTCACACAGGCACACACACATAAGCATAAATAAAAGTTAATATTTTTAAGTAAATTAGAAAATAAACCAAAACAATATAAAATACAATAATGACGAAATAAACTGCAAATGAGAAAAACAATAAAATTTAAAATATGATCAAGGAAATCTAAAAAGCAAAACATCTAACACTCATCAATATATACATGTTAATATGTGATATAATGATCACATGTCATTCTGTAGGATCCTAATTAGGAAAAAAGAAACCCTGAGGCTACATTGGGGACCAAAAAGCACCAGAGCCAGACTGACAGGGTCTGTGTCAGCCTCAGAGCCATGAGCAGCTTGCACATACCTGTGTGGGCCTGTGCTTTGTCTCCAACAGATATCTCCAATACCCTGTGCCTTCAACAAACCAAGACCTTTGTGTCCCCGACTCAGCCCACAGCCCCATCTCTTAACCAAAATGCCTCTGTCACTCCTGTTCCTCAGGCAAAGGTCAGAGCTTCCTTACAGCTCTCCTACTCTCACACATACCTGTCGGGACCGTTTTCAAATAGACCTGAAGTCCAAGCATCTACCATCTCCTCTACTACTTCCAAAGCCAGGCACACGATCCCTCCTCTTTGACTTGTACACTGGCCTTCACACTCCCTACTTGTGCCTCTCCCTGTTTCATTTTATCTTTAACATCACAAGGAGACACAGCTCCTGGTTCAGTGAAAGCCAGACAACAGACCTCTAGACCAATCATGGCCACCCAAAATCCTTACCTTCATCCTTTGATATTTCTAATGAATGCTAGCCCCATTCCTGCTCCAGGGTCTGGAAGATTCTTTCCCATTCTTTTCCAGCTCCTTACTCAAGGGTATTCTTTGCCTTGAGGCTGTAAACTGTGACACTACATCTAGACCCTTCAGCTCCTACCCTCCCCAAATTTTCTGCCTTCTAACATAGCTCCGCCTGACATGCTACACATTTGACAGACATCCATCTCATCTGATGCTTGGCTGAAATAGACACCCCAAGACAAAGGACCCTGGTCCTCTTTCCAACACAATAGCCCAGATGGCTCCAACAACTCCTGGGGTATTATGGGTATTTACTCAATATTTATTGAGTGAATAAACACAGAAATGACTAAACAAAGGAGGGATTAAATTAATTAAGAGAATGCTACATGCAACTTTGTAAGGGAAAAAAACCCACAGATTTCTTAATAAAGTACAAATTACAAAACTGGCCCAAGTCCATCCCCAACCACTCTATTTTTCTAGGACCACACAGGTTTTCAGTTAATCTCATCTATAAACAATTATACACTTCTCTTTAGTATAATATTTCTAAAAATTCCTTTGAGGATTTCTTACAATGTTATCTTGATCATATTCTCCTGCTCCTCCCCCAACTCCTCCCAGACCCCCCCATTCCCCACATCCTCCAAATTTCATGGGTGTGGGGCAGTGGAGTGTATTCACTCAACCAGGTACCACACAATTCTAATAGTCTTTAAGTGCATATATACCACAGGGGCAGGGGAGGTTTTCCAAAAATTCTAATGCATTTTACAAAATCAGAGTATAAGTAAAATTTGATAATCAAAGAAAATAATCTAAATATAACAGTAATTTTTAAAGTTCAATTTAGATCTGTAATATACAATGTTCTGTCACTACTGTAAAATGAATGCAAACAACTCAATAGAAAAGCAAATAGTGGATGCTCATTTCAGGCAACAAAATGGTCAAAACGATCAGCAGTCAATAAAACAAGAAGTAAAGTCCTAGTCAAATACAACTTTGTGCTCACTCAACTAGCCTCCAGACTGGGGAAAAAATGGTCCTGCACAATGGCACACAACTTTAATCCCAGTACTTGATAGGCAGAAGCAGGTGGATCTCTGTGAGTTCAAGGCCAGCCTGGTCTACACAGTGAGTTCCAGGACAGCCAGGGTTACAAACCCCATCTCAATCAAACAAAAAACCTGGAAATTTTTTTAAAGGATCAAGCACTGAGGTAAAGGGCAAATATCATTTTAAATTGTTAATGAAAGATGACAGCACTGGAATTCTCAAAAGTGCAGACATCTCTACCCTCAGTGGCCTATCTATAGAGACAAAGGCACTGGTAAGAAGAGACAAATGGTTACAGGAATTTAGGAGAACATTTCTCATTATAAGAAAAAAATAGAAAAAAGAAAATGCCATGGCTGCAGGGCCAGCCAGTGGTAGAGAGGCACAGACACTGCCAAGCAGGAACTAGACTCCAATTGTGACCTTACTCTGGACACTCAGACCACTGCAGAACTAAGCAGGTGGGTTTGCTGTGTGGTCTCGGCATTGCTGGGATCTGTTTTTCCCACATAGCTGCAGGAGACCTACAGCTGCATCACCCTGGCAGAACAAAGCACATTAAGGTTTCCAGGTGGGAAATGCCAGGTATTTTGGGCACAAAAGGAACTAAAATTCCTAGCTCTGCAGGAAAACTCACTTCACTATGTAAGAAGGAGGGCACAGAGCCAGGGCATTACAGGCCCAGGACAGGGAAAGGGAGGATCAAGGGAAGACAAACAGAAACCCTCCGTGCCTTCCACCCTGGGTTCTTTGACCACAGGGTATGGTGCAGCCAAAAGGAATAGCACCCAGAGAAGGGTATGGCAGGGAGTAATCAGTCGCTGGAAAGGGAAGAATCCCAGAGTATGACAGAAAGAGCTCATTTCTGCACTATATACACATCCAGTTGGGGCTTCACAGCCTCAGCAAGATCTCTGGAGACTCACTCACCAACAGCACAGAGATCTACAAACCGGTCCTCCCCCTCCTCTGCATGGATCAGGTCATTTCGGCTCTTCTTCGTGGCAGCTCTCTTCAACACTGCTTTAAACAATGGGTAGTGGAGACCAGTGTGAGCTGCAGCATTACCTACCCCATCCCAAGGCGTCTTTCAGCTGTGTGGCATTAGCGTGCCTGAGAATGGCCCACTTTATCTCAGCTCCTATCTTCCCTGATCCTGACCTTTGGGTCCTTCTCACATGGAAAGGACATAGAATTTTGAGGGTCACCCTTCATTCTCTTCCACCAAAGCTAGAACATTGGGGACACATGACCACAAAGAAGACTTAGACATATCATCTGGGGCCAGGCCAGGGATGCAGAGGTTCCGGGACAGATCTGCTTAGAATAGGGTGACCTGCAAAGATGACAGTGTACCATGCTGTCTGGTCCCAACCTAAGCCTGCCTGTGAGTAGAGCTCTACAGGCAACCACAGGTGCCCACAGTAGTAGAGGCCTCCAGCTCTACTAAGGTCTCTGGGATGGTGTCTGGAGTCTTCTGTGGCCTTGGGGATAACCATAACTCCAGAAACATCTCAAATCCTGCAGGTATGAAGTTTCTAGAAGCAATGCAGTCCAGCATAGTTTCCAACAAAGATAATGGACACATGTGTCATAAGCCCAAGCTACTCAGATTCTACTGCTCATATATTACCATGACAGATGTAAAGGCACTTCACATGGCAGTGTCCCAGGGAAACAGTTCCTACTGTGTGGGGAATGTTATTGGGACCACTTACCATCCAAAGGGGACTTCTCTTCTGCATTCTTGTCCTCCTCCGCCAACATGACTTCCTCTGTGAAGGCCAAAACTCAGGTCAGAGCTTTTCTACCCATCCCCCAAAAGGGCCTCATCCCAGGAAAACCTGGGAAAGTAGTCTGGAAGCACCTGCCTGCTCATCTATATATGTTCCTACCAGCAGGTTGTGACTACATGCTTTCTTCCAATGCCCAAACCATGCCCAAGCAGAGGCCCAGCGACTGTAAGTCCATCCCATGTCCAACCTACAAATGATCCTCCTAGACAATAGAACTGTGAATTCACAGAGGAAGCATTCGTAAGATCTCAGGCAGGAGAGCAGCCCACGATGAAGGGAACAGCTCATACAAATAGAGTATCACACATGGAAGGGAGCTACCAGCATGGCTGGAGCAGCCTACATGAAAGAGAGAAGCCCAAAGAGCTAGCAGTTCACTCAGAGGGGAGCAGAACACATGGAGGTAACAGCCCACATGGAGGGGAAAAGCCCTAGAGGAGAAACTATCCACATAGAGAAGGGCAGTCAGCATAGACAGGGATAGCCCTATGAAGGGAGTTTCCCAAGGGAGGGAAGAAGCCATACAGAGGGAAGCTACTTTACCTGGGGATGGAGGAGGTAGGTTAGAGTTTAGGCTTACAGTGCCCAGAACATGGCTGGTAGAAAAACTCAGGGAAATAGCATGGTATTCAGGTCTAGTGGGCAATGGTCCTCCATGTGACTATCATATGACAATGTACTAAGAGTCAGCCTTTTTCAATAAGCTCCACCCCAGAGCCCAGGAAGCCTGGGTGGCAGCAAGGTGGACAGTGTACAAAGCAGAAATACCACTGCCCATTTTCATGGACTTACCCGCCTTGAAGATCCACTCCAAGTACCCATTCAGCTCTCGCTCAATCTGCTGCTGCCTACGGAGCTTCAGGAAGGCACGACGGTTCTCTACTCGCTCCCGCTCCTTGGCAAACTCTCTATACCATGTAGGAGAGAAAAACAAGCAGCTCCAGTGAATAGAGGTATGCAGGACAGGACAGTGTTGCTTCTAGAATTGTCGTGCCTGGAGGCAGGCTCCTACCAGCTCCCAAACACTAACCTTACCCACCACATATTCTGGCTCCAGCTCTGGGAGTCCAGAGAACACCTGTGCCATACTCCTCACTACTGCTGAGCTCCCAGCCTGCTGGCTCTGCTACAGGGCTCTCACCCATCCCCTACCTGGCTCTTTCTAATCCTCTCTTTGGATCTCAGTTGAGATGCCCCATCCTCAGGTGCCTTCTCATCCTTAAATTTCCTCATCAGACTAATTCTACTCTGTCACTGTGGTGATCTGAATAAGAATGGTCCCCATAGGATCATATGTTTGAATACTTAGTCATTAAGGAGTGGCATTATTTGAGAGAGATTAGGAGGTGTGCTGTGTTAGAGGAAGTGTGTCATTGGGAGTGGGCTTTCAGGTTTCAAAAGCCCAAAGAGTTAGTCTCTCTCTCTCTCTCTCTCTCTCTCTCTCTCTCTCTCTCTCTCTTTCTCTCTCTCTCTCTCTCTGCCTCTCAGGATATAGAACTCTCAGCTCCTGCCTGCGTATTACCATGCTTTCCCTGTCATGGATAATAGACTAAACCCCTGAAACTGTAAGCCAGCCCCCAATTAAATGCCTTCTCTTATAAAGGTTGTCTTGGCCATGGTGCTTCTTCATGCCAGTAAAACAGTGACTAGGACAGTCACCTACACTCAGCGCTCAGGAAGCCTCTGCAAAGGCACCTGGAAGGATACTCTAATGACAGCCACACCCATTATAGGACACATATAGAGAACAGAGACCACTCCAGCTCCAGAACATGCTGTTTTCCACATCTACTCTATTCTGGCAGCTGCTTTCAGGGTCCACAAGGCTCTATTCCCATTTACCTTGGGAGCTACAGGCCTGGTCAGAAGTCTTCAGGGTGGGAATAAGGGAGCCATCCAGGGATTCTGCTGCTCAGGTAGAGCAGCAAAGTCAGGTCAGGCCTGACCCTCTTTACCATCTTGGGAGGTAATGCCCTTAGCCCATATAAGGGTAGGAGCTCCAAACAGGAGACCAAATGCAGAAGAGAAGGTGCTATGTGCCCTGAGGCTACAGAGAGCACACCACAGCTCATGGTTCTTACCCTGAGAGCACACCCAGCACTAGGTTGAGCATAAAGAAGGAGCCAATGATGATGAGAGGGATGAAGTACAGCCAGTTCCAGGTGTTGCCAGCTGCATCATTTGTCTGGGAAAAAAGGGGAAGAGATGAGACAAGTAGGCAAACAGCTATGGCCACATCAGTGTGCTTGGCCTCTAGGGCCTCCTCAGGAAGGTCCAGGCAGGGAGTTCAGGCTTGGTCAGACCTGTTCTTGCCCCACAAAGCCTTCCCTGGGTGGATGCTGCCAGAGGACCAGGGAAACTGCACATCTCCAGTGATGCTAAAAAGCCAAGAGCAAGTCCACAGAGCCAAAGGCTGCTCAGGATACACTAAGGACTACTACATGCCTGGCCTCTGTCTACTAGGATAGCTCCTTGACAGGATAATCATGGCCTCCCTGAGCAGCTGCAAAGATACTTCCTTAAAATGGAGCCTATAAGTTCCACAGTTAGGGTTAGTGCTGTCTTATCATATCCCTAGTAGATCCCCAATTCAGGCTACATGTGCCTCCACACTGAGTTCTCCACAAGCCCCTAGAATACATCCCTCATCCTATGCCCGGCCCAAGATGTCTTGGCACCCAGGCATGATCTGAATTGCTAAAAACACAAAGACCATCCCTTCTGCTTATTATAACAAAGCCTTCCGAAGAGAAAACTCCCCTGAACCCACCAGCTTAACTCCATGACTTTTCTACTGTTACGGACTCCAGTGGACTTAGCTAAAGGGAGTAGTGAATCTCTTTCTCCATCTGCATCTACTGCTAGAAGCAAACCATGAGTAAGGTGGATGCTGAGGACAGGCACCTCCCTTTAGATAGCAGGACACCTGAGCCCTGCCCCAAAGCTAGGCTTGAGGTACTTTGTCAGGATTCCTGCCCTCCAGCCTGGCAGATCTACAGACTCTTCCCTTAAATAGTCCTAGATACCTAAAGTGACTGCAGCTTGTAACTTCTGATTCCTTAACACTGACTGAAGGCTGTCACCAAAATACCCACCTCCAACTCAGAACTGACATTCAAAATTCCAACTCTCAATTGTGGATCATATTCCATACCCCACCTATGCACTAACACACAGCGCCTCTGATCCATGGGTTAGACAGACACGGAGGCCAGCAACCTCCCTGCAAGTCTACCCTCAAAACAATCCTCCTAAAAAAGAGGGGACAGAACCGCTGTAACCTCACCCCTTCCACCACCAGAGCACCTGTATTTCTCCTTCTAGACCATCCTCTCCACAAGCCAAGTCACTGTGCTTTCTCCCATATTAAAAGCAAAGCAAATCAGGACTTCCACTTCTGGGAAGCTAAGCAGTCACTTTCTGCATGAAGAACAAAATCAATTCTTTTGAACATTATATAAAAGTAAGTATAGGAAAATTCCAAGAGAAGGTAGACCGGCTTGGACCTCAAGACCTAAGGGGACCTCCCTAGGTTTTGTTTTTATCTCATATATCCCTGACTTCAAGCCAAGGAAGTCTATACCTCCATCTCTCTTCTGCGTTGTTGGTAAGAGCTTAAGAGACCTCCAAAGCACACAGTCTACTGTTGTTGCCCTTGGCTTCCCCTAGACATGGAAGGTAAGTCCCTATTGATGAAGAAACAGGGCCCAGAGATCCCTGAGCTAGAACTGACTTCAATGCCCTCTCGCTGAGAACTAGTTTTCATGGTACCAGAAGGTGCCATGCAAGTTTCCAAAGGAGGTAAGCAACCAATAGTCCTACCCAGCTATGATACCTATAAACCACATTGAGAACTAGCATGGCATGGTAAGTCTAAGTGTGCAATAGTGTCACACATATCTTGGCAGTAACCAATAGCACTCTGATTGGACTAAAGGCCTGATCAACACGCCTGGTACTGGAAACCTAGTTAACTACTCAGTGCTTGTGAAATCATGATTATTGGAGGAGAATCTACAACCACTAATTTACCAAACCAGTATAATTTCTAACAAAATGCTATAAACATTTGCCCTTTTACCCACAGATAAGAGTAGTCCTCAGCCCTCATCAGGGAAACTTCTCTTTGTAACATATGGATATCATTACAGAAAAACATAACCAATTAAAATGCAAAGATGGGGAGTTCATCTATCTAAACCTCCCATACCTAAGACCATTGCAGAGAGGAGGCAGAAAGACTGTAAAGGGCCAAAAGATCAGGGAGTTTTCTGTGAGATTGTGTCTCCTAGTAACATCAAAAGCTATACTCATTACATCTGACTAACATGATTACCCAAACATAAACTGAACAAGAATAACACCAACAAACATGTCAAACTAGACAGAGAAATGCCTAAAGCTTCAACCCTACACAAAGAACCACAGGTAACTGAGTAAAGCTGACAGTGGGAGCAATAATCCTCCTCAAGGAAAAGCACACCAACTGGTCATCCAGTGCCAAATGGTCAGCCCTGAAAATATACATACAAGCACAAAAACATGAACATGAACAACCAAGACAATATGTCTCCTCCAGAAGCTAGTGAGGCCCTGAGAAAAGCAATTTAGCTGAAGCACAAGACAGGGGCTTCAAAATAGCAAGTGTGAATATGTCCAAGGACTTTAACGGGGATATCAATAAATGCCTTAACAAAGACCATGAAAAAAGATAAACAGTTGAAGAGAACAATGAAAACAATTCAAGAAATAAGAGTATAATTTAACAAAGAAATAGGATCACTAAAGAAGCCCACAGAATCAAGCTTGGGTAAAAAGCAACACCAAAAAGTTACATATGGTATTTTTTCCAACACATAATATTACTGAAGTCAAAAAATAACACAAGCTGTCAGAAATCAAAAAGGGACACAGGGCAACAGACAGGAAAGCGTGACTGTAGAGGTCACACAATCACCCTCCCAGTGTTGAACTATTCTGTATCGTATCTATGTACAAAGCCACAGCTGTAATACTATGGTCTTTGTGATGGTTAACATTGGCTGTCAAATTGACCAAATCTGAAATCAACTAATAGGCAAGCTGCTGGGCACGCCTACACGGGATGTTCTTAACCAGATTATCCGAAGTGAGAAGAACCACCCTAAATATTGGTGGTACCTTCTGATGGTACCCAGATAAAAGGAGATGGCAGACCTTCACTCTGCTGGCAAGTTCATCTGTTCTGTGGCTGCCACTACTACATACCTTCACTGATATTAGAACTAAAGTCTTCAGGATTCTAGCATAGACTGAGGACCAGCAGCTCCCAGGAACCTTCCAGGCCTAGAGCACCACGTTGGGACTGTTGAGATATCTTACTTTGTAGACTGAGCAACTACAAAATTCTTGGCCTCTCCAGTGTGAGAGAGTGGTTGCTGGGACAACTCAGAACAAATCAAGTAAGCCAATCCAGGAAGTTATCTTTTACTACACATTCATTCTATTGGTTCTGTTCCTCTAGGATGGTGGTTCTCAACCTGCAGGTCACGACCCACTTGGTGTTGAATGACCCTTTCACAGGGGTCACATATTGGATATTCTGCATATCTGATATTTACATTACAATTCATAACAGTAGTAAAATTATAGTTATGAAGTAGCAACAAAAATAATTTTCTGGCTGGGGGGGGTCACCACAACATGAGTAACTATATTAAAAGGCCCCAGCATTAGGAAGGTTGCAAACCACTGCTCTAGAGAACCTACAGTCTTTTAGGCTATTATCACTGGGAAGAACAGGACAGAGGGTAGAGATATGTATCATCTTTCCATATGGCATTTGATAACTTCACAACACTTTACAATGGTCTTCATTTTTTTTTAATTACAAAATCCCATCTCTGTAACCCCACATCTTCTGAAGTCACTCTGCATTGTTCTTCTCTCTTGAAATGGCAGTCTATGCTGGAAGTCTTGCTTCTTTGCCCCTTTCCCTTCAGTCCATGCATCCAGGAGTTTACCCCCACCACTAAGAACGTTTTTGCCAAGTCTCCCAACATCCTTCATCTTGCTACATACTAAGAGTTAGATTTCTCTTCCCCTGGATTTTAATCTCTCAGCAATATCTGGCTCCACTTCTTCAAACTTTCTGCTCTGCTCCCATCTGCTCCCAGGACCGGCTCCTGGCATTCCTCCTGCCCTACACAAGCTCCGCCACTGTTCTTTGATGGCTCGGACTGCCCCCCTCCCTGGACTCCAAAGGGAGAATCCTACTAGGGACAGAATGCAGGCTCTGTCACCTGCACTCACTACCCTGGTACTCTCGTCCTCTCCCATAATTCTCTAATTCTCAACATTGTCCACACGTCAGCAAGTCAATATGCATCCCATCCCTACTGCTCCTTCTGAGCTCTCTTCTTGGATGAAGACAGTTATTGACAATTTTACAGAGTTAAAACAGTCATGAGTTCCACTACCATTCTGCACTAAACCAAAGCTGGAACAGCACCTGCTCCCAGTTCTCCCCTTCTCAGCCAATGGCATCTACGTTCCCCGTAACTCCAATCCCACCATCTCTGGATCTAGTCTCTTCCTCCCATCGCATCAATAAGCAAGTCCTGTTTCTGTCAACATCAAAATAAAGACTTATACCTACTTACAAAATACTTCTTTCCTGAGGTTTGTATAGATAGCATGAAACAAAGCCCTGTGTATATAATCCACACGTGATGCATTATCCCATTGTTCCTCTGAACTTTTCTCATGTGTCTTCCTGGATAAAAAAAATTCAGACAAGTCCCATGACTTTTCTAGCAATTTGAATGAGAACGGCTCCCATAGGCTCATATATTGGAATACATGGTTCCCAGGTGGCAGAGCTGTTTGGGAAGGATTAGGAAGTATAGCCTTGTTGGAGGAGGTCCGGCATTGGAGGTAGGCTTTGAGGTTTCCAAAAGCCCATGTCATTCCCAGTTGGCTCTCTCTGCTTTGATTGTAGATGAGATGTAAGCTCTCAGCTACTTCTCCAGCTGTATGCCTGCCTGCTGCCATGCTCTCCACCATGATGGACATGGACTCACCCTCTGATACCAGAAGCAAGCCCAATTAAAAGCTTTCATTTATAAATTGCCTTGGTCATGGTGTTTTGTCACGGCAATAGAAAAATAACAAGACAGAAGTTGGTACTAGGAACTGGGATATTACTGAAACAGGTCTGGCCATACTGTTTTTTGAAAAATTGTGTTCCAGAAAAGTAGCTGAACAATGATGATGTAACCAAGGACTGGGTGGTGGTGGCCCATGCCTTTAATCCCAGCACTTGGGAGGCAGAGGCAGGTGGATCTCTGAGTTCGAGGGCACTTTGGTCTACAGAGTTCCAGGGCAGCCAAGACTGTAACACAGAGAAACCCTTTCATGAGAAAAACAAATAAACAAACAAAAATAACAAAACAAAACAAAATAAAAACAGACACTGTAACCAGGGATTAATGAGCCATCCTGGCAGCGGCTTAGAATAGTGCTGATAGCCATATGGACTGTGAAGTCCAGCTCAAGAGGTTTCAGAGGGGAACAATATTAGTAATTGGGATAAAGACAATTCTTGTTATAATTTGTCAAAGAATGTGTTTGGGTTTTGCTTCTGCCCCGCCCACGGCTACATGGAAGAGTTCTGTAGTGAGATATTCACTTTGTCAGCACCTGTGGCATAGACCACGCCCATTGGGGTGGAGACAGGGCCGGACTTTACCTGGGGAACTAAGTCTAAGGAGGGGGCAAGGAGAGCTCTCTTGCTTGCAGCATGGGGACAGGAGTACATCCGGAGGCATCTTTGGGACCAGGAACCTGCTGGTGTTCATCTGTCTATGTTGTAAGTTATTTCTCCCTGAATAAACATCTATTCGGCCTATTTGTTTCTACTGATCCTTATTAAACATCAATAGAGTTCTGTACTAATTTCCTTGGCAGAGGTGATTTCAAGACAGCCTAATATTGACTGTCATGTGGTTATTAGTGATCAGTATCATGCAGGTCTACAATGGAAAAGAGGGAATGAGGCAAAAAGAAATGCAAAATATGCAGTTTGAAGAGAAAAACAGTACCAAGGAACTTGATGTCAGAGCCATGGTTTGTGCTGAAAGAGATGAACTGAGATGAAGGGAATAAAGAGGAGGGTCCCTCAGAGCTGGACTCCACCCAGCTAATCCTGCAATTTGGGAATAGAAAAAGCCTGAGGAATTATCTGTTCCTAAAAATCAAAGCTTCTACAAATATAATTTAAGGAGGGAGCCAGGTCCCACTCCAAGCAGGCATTGGAAGTTGGTAGCATTGGCTGTGTGGTTCTGGCTTTAGAGTCATGATGGATACGGCCATAAGGGGGTTGTGGAATCTTCCTCTGCAGCTAAGGAGAGCTGTTGAGGCCAGGTGTGTGACAGGGGAGTCCTGCATGAAGGCCCAGAGATGCCACTAAGTGAAAGTGAAGCCTGGATTGTGTTGGAGACTCCAAGGCACTGGAGATGCCAGTGTCATGGGGTATCTGCCACTGAGAGCTACATACAGGGAGTGGACCCAGCCCAATCAGGGGAAATGTGCTGCAGCCAGGAAAGCTGGGAGGGCAGAGCCATTAAAACTCTGACATCAAAGTTGGAGTGATTCCTATATGTTTGGAATTTGCCTGGCAGTTTTGAGTCTTGTTTTGATCAGTATTTCCTCACTATGCCTCCTTTCTTCTCTTTTGGAATGGTAATCTATATTCTTTGCCACTGTATGTTGGAAGCAAATAATTTGCTTTTTGATTTTACAGGAGGTCGTAATTAAGAGGCTGTGTTGAGTCTCAAAAGAGACTTGGAAATTTTAAGCTGTGTTGAGACTGAAAGATTATGGGAACTTTAAAAATCAGACTTAGTGTGCTTTTTACATTGTGGTATAGCCACAAGCCTATGGGGGCCCGGGAATAGAGTTTCATAGTTTGACTGAGGATGTTCTCCCCATAGGTTCATATATTTGAATGTTTGGTCCCCCTTGTGGATGGGAAGATTTGGATGTGTGGCTTTATTGGAAGAAGTATGTCACTGAGAATAGGCTCTGATGTTTCAAAAGCCCACAGCATTCCCAGTTAGCATGTTTCCCCCCTACCCCTCCCCATTTATACTTGTGGATCAGATATAAACTCTCAGCTGCTTCCCAAGTTGCCTTGGTCATGGTGTTTTATCATGGTAATAGTAAAATAACTAAGACAAATCTCACGTTACCACTCGAAGTTGAAAAAAAAAAGTTTGGATTTGGTATCAGATGTGACCAGTCCTGACTGTTAGGGAACTGCTAACAAATTTCTTGCTAATAGCTGTTCTCCTGATCTGCTAGCCACGTCTGGTACATTCAGTGGGAGAGGCAGACAAAGCCCGTTGTCATTCCCCATTCCTCAGCCTCCTGTAGAGGGACTCACCCAATGCTGTAAAGACAGGGAAAGGGAGAGCTGAGGGGACAGCTTGTCTTTGTAGAGCTTTCCTGAGACAATCCATCTCTCCAGGCTGTCAGGAAAGTCCTGCTTACAATGACTGACAAGTCACTTCTGTAAATTCTCCTGGAGCCCCACTTGAGTCCATATACTTACCAAAGCAAAGGCAAGTAATTTCCCCAGACTGCACAGTCCCCCTCACCATCTATTATCACCAGCCATTCGGAAACCTGCTCCCTATTAAGAACACGCTGCTGTTCTAGCTGCAAGTCTCCTAACCGCTCCCCTGTTCACACAAGTGACCTCTCCGTCAATCTACCTCAGCTGCAGCAGGTCAGTGGCTTCTGCCCACACAGAACCATCTCACCACTCAAAGAAGCATTGTCTTAGGAGTCCAGGCTTGTCAGGGGGTGAAGGGCAGGGTGTCTCCAAAGAGTTCAACCCCAACAGCCAGTCTACACCCTGGTTTGTGGCTTCCTGCTCTGGATTTGCATGCCACCCACATCCCAGTACTTAGTGTGTGTGTGCTTGGCTTCTGGACTCTAAAAGGTTCAAGCACTCTCGAACAAAGTACTCTGTGTTCCTCAACCTTCTGCATGTTTAATAACATACACATGCTATCACCTGGTCCTCATGCCTGAGCTCCTCCATAAAAGTATCCCATGCCATTGGGTGCAGCTGGAATATATGTTGGGTGAAACCTCTGCGGCTCTCTGCTAATCCCTTCCTGGATATATACACAGACAGGGATCTGTGTCCCTGTGGACATTTGACTAAGCTCCTGTAGGCTCTGAGGGCTATAGAAACCTGGCCAAACAGCAGAGATGTGGCCAGCATGGAGCTGTTTTTAGGGTCTGTCTTTGTGGAAAATTCTCTATGTCTGGCAAAAAAGAACAACAAAGTCCCTGTGCCTGCCTTTGTAGTGGTATTCATTCTCTGCATCAATCTACCCAGGACACCATTTCGCTAAGGGTCCCTTTCAGAGGACCCTTAGTCAGCTTCCCCTTTAACTTCTCATTTTGCTGCTCAGGCTTGATAGATCAGACCAACAAGCATTTGCTAGGCACCTGCCTAGTGCTAAGATCACCTGGGTCCCCATGAACCCAGGGGGAAGACTCAGATACAGCTGCTAGAGTCCATGGTAGGAGGAACAGGGCTCCAGGGCCATGTGATGCCTCACCCTCTAGCATAAATGACAGCACCTCAAGTCCCACTTTCCAAATCCTTACTATATCCAAAACCAAACACATCTACCTACCCAAAACCAAGGGTCCCCTGCTCACACATTCCCAGGCTCCTGGCTCAAGTGCACTTTCATCTCATTCTCTGTATCCCAAAGCTCAGGAGGCGCTCTTCCTTGTCCTTGATCCCTAGCAGATGGCTCACAAGATTCTGGGACAGGGTCAGGGAGGTAAGAAGGCCATCTTCCTATGAGAAGACTGAGGTTTGCTATAGTGGGTTGTAGAATCATCAAGAAGAACCTTGGGTATATGGGAAACCTATATAATTAAATGGGTTACCAACACCCAAGAGGCCTTATATTGCACATCCATCATGGCCCCTATGGTGGTTTGAAATGACAATGGCCCCTAGAGTTTCATAGATTTGATCACCCAGAAGTGGCATTATTTGAGAAGACTAAGAGGTGTGGCCTTGTTAGAGGAAGCGTGCCACTGGAAATGGGCTTTGAGGGTTCAAAAGCTCATCCCAAGCACAGAGTCTGTCTCTCTGCCTATAGATCAGGATGTAGCTCTCAGCTACTGCTCCAGTGCCTGCCTGCCTACCTGCCACTGTGCTTGATGAAACACCTGGATAAAGGGGTCTCTATTACACCCTAGAGTAGGTGAATGGACTAAGGACTGGGAAATAGCTCTCAGTCAGAGGTGTCCCTAAGAGAGACCCCCCACCCATCCACACCCACCCCACACTCACCCCCCACCCCCACCCCATTGCCCCAGAGCACCATTCTGAGAGCTCCAGACCACACCACCAGGGCTACGGCCAAGATATAACTCACATTGTAGAGGATGTCAGTCCAGCCCTCCATGGTGATACACTGGAACACTGTCAAGATGGCAAACAGGATGTTGTCAAAATTGGTGATGCCAAAGTTGGGTCCTGGCCAATATTCCCGGCATTCAGTGTCACCCTCACACAGGCGAGCTGGGGCCTCCTTGCCACAGGGAAAGTCACCCGGCTCTGCATCTGTGAGGAGGAAAGTAAAGCAAACCTGAGATCTCTGCTCCCCAAGTCTCGGCCATTGCCTCGCCCTTCATCGCATGCACCTGCACCTGATCTTCCTCTCACTAACCTTACACACAGCTCCACATCTGCCACTCATCTGCCCTCTCTGGAGCAACCTGCTCCTGCTCCCTCTCCCTCCTGAAACCTTTCCATTATCATTAGAATATGTTCAAGATCCCTTCATATTGACACCTAAGCCAATTCCAGCTGTAACCTGATTTCTCTTCTTCCAGCCTGAGGAAGAGGGAGAGGATAAATGATAAATGATTACTAAGTTTACTTATCCTTCTCCAAATGGTGTGACTAAGGCTTCAAAAATACCATCATTTGAGTGTTTGTGGCCAATTGTCTTCTCTGTGCATAACAGTCTGTTTCCTCCTTTTTATTCTTGATATAATTTGCCTTCATTTTCTTGTCTCATGGCACTGCTGTAATTACCAATGTAATTACTGCCCGTGACTTGTTTTGCTTCCTACTTTAAAGGAAAAGCTATGAACTTACAATGGAGTTTAATATCTGAAGGGATTTTAGAGAATCTAACAAAACAACTTACTTCCAGTTTAATAAAAGTTTTTTTCTAATGATGAATGACTTAAGTTTTAGCCAGAGAATTTCCTGCATCTAAAAGATAATCATGCAGTTCTCTCCTTTTATTTAATTATACCTCAGCACTCAGAACACCCTCTGGCTTCACCTACAGCAGATACCCAGAGCATGAATGTGACCCACTCCAAATATCGAGCTGGCTGCCGTCATCTCTCCTGGACTAAGGTTTCCTCCTACTCTTGCTTCTGCTCTTGCCTCCCCACTGCAGCACTGGGACCAGAAGATACCACAGCTTGTTCAATGCCCTCTAGTCTTCCAATTCCTGGCACACAGCTCAAGTTCTTAGCCACAGCCCAGAAGCCACGTGATTTCCTCATCTCAGTGCTCTTCCACTTTGCACTGTTGTACTTACTGTCCCTGTAACTGGAGCACTCTGACTGGGTGGCCAAACAGCTGTTCTTACCCCACTCAGATCTCTGTTCATCCTCAGCTTTAGCAGGAAGGCTGACTGGCCCTTGGGAGCTGATGCAAAGCAGGCCCCAAGCTATTCTATATCAAAGACTTTCATTACTTCTCATAGATGTTTTTAGAGTGATATTTTATCCATGTATCTATTTATTACTACTTATTGGGCTACTAGAATATAAGTTCTACCTCACTGTATGGAAGCTCAAAAGCCCTTCTGGCACTAGGCCATGAGCCTGTCTCATGGACAAACACCTCTGGCGTCCTCTTTTGAGCATTGTGCAACTCACCTGTGCTGTTGGGGAAGCAGGCCTTATGGAATTTGCCCATATAGAACTCTAGACCGATGATGGCAAACATGAGGATGGCAAAAAAGAGCAACAGCCCAATTTGCAGCAGCGGAACCATGGCCTTCATGATTGACTTGAGCACCACCTGCAAACCTGGAGTCAGAGGATGCACAGGGAAGGTCAGAGAGCAGCAGAGGCGGGCTGACAGTGAGTGCTTACGTGAGAAAGACAGAGCCCTCAATGGCAAAGGATGAGGGCTTAAGGAGAGGTGAGATGAACAGTATCCGAAACTGGGGGAAGAAGAAAGACAAGGGATTCTGAGCATGAGTTCAGGATAGGGAATGGGCACAGGTGGGAAAGATAAGGGAGAATTTAGAGTCTGAAAACGGAAAACTCTAAGGGGAAAAAGAGAGAGAATTAGATACATAGAAGAAAAAGAAGCATCCTAAGAGGAAAGACCAGGGAATCTTGGGAATGAGTGGCAGGGGATCCTGGAAAAGTAAAAACACAGAGATTCCTAGTAGATCCATTTCTTCAGGAAAAGGAGGTAATTCTCCAAAACCAGAAAGTGTTTTGTCACTGGGCCACAAGGCACAAGTGAGTTGGGCAGAGAAACTGCTGAGGTTATAACCTTTTACCCTTTCCTCCTGGCCTCAACTCTTAGATATGGAACCAAACCCTTGTGTATTCTGAGAAGAGCGGGAAGTTAACCAGGGGTTTTCTTGTAGTAGTTTTAGGACAAAACAACATTGAGTCCCTGCCCACCCAGGCTTTTAGCAAGCCTGAAGCAAAATCTCTGCCAGGCTGAGGGAATAGCCATAGCCACAAGGAGCAGCCTGTGTCCAACATGCTTACTAAGTCCCCTGGCCATCCTCTTGCCCATATTTGCCTCCTTGAGTGGCACAAACCAGAAGCATACCTGATGGCCATCTCAATACCAGGCCCCTCTGGCACTAAGACCAGGTTGCCCTTCATAGCCTTAGACATTTTCTTGTTCTACCACCTTGCTTGGTCTCTAATCTGTTCTTCAGTCCCAGAAAATGAAGCAAAGAGGAAGAAACACACATCAGGAAAACAGACAGGGCCACTGTGGGAGTTTGAATGTAGTTGGCCCACATAAGCTCATAGCCAGCGCCAAGATTAGACGCGGCTTTGTTGGAATAGGTATTGCCTTGTTGGAGGAAGTATGTCACTGTGGGGGTGGGCTTTGATGTTTTTTCTATGCTCAAGATACCAGTGTCACAGTTCATCTTCTGATGCTTTCTGATCAAGATGGCGCCAGCATTATGTCTATCTGCATGCCGCCAAGCTACCCGCCATAATGATTATGAACTGAACTGTAAGCCACCACCTCATTTAAATGCTTTCCTTTATAAGAGCTGTCGTGGTCATAGTGTCTCTTCACAGCAATGGAAACCCTAACTAAGACGGCCACCCTCTGGGATTTTATGAAGAAAGAACTGAAGAAGACTGTGTAGTGGTTTGAACCATTAATGTTCTCCTGGGCTCAGGTACTTGAATATCTGGTCCCCAGTTTGTGGCACAGTTTGGTAAAGTTATGGAACTTTAGGGCACATAGCCTGGCAGAATTATATCACTGAAGAGGGGAGTGAGACTTTATAGCCTGGATTCATAAACACCACATAGAAGCAAAAAGTATCTAATATATGTCTGTTCCTTTTTCCTGCTGTCAAAAGTAGAAATCTCAGGGGTAAGTGGTAGAGTATGTGTTTTGTATGCACAAGGCTCTAGGTTCTCCCCAACATCCCCCCAAAAGTGTTCCAAGGGCCCAGTACTTAGAAGCCACAGCTTGGATGAAGGTGGAAGGGTTATATTGGGCCCATCTGTCTTAGCAAGTCTTACTTGGAATTCCAGACACCAGCTTCAGGGGTCTTAGAACACGGACAGCCCTCAGGGTCCGGAGATCAAAGTCAGTTCCAGCTGTGGCAAGAATCCTGGTAAGAAAGAGGACAAGGGATGTAAGAGTTTCTACACTGAGTCTACGAAGAAACAATGCTCATTCCACTACTTGTGTACCCCTTTTCCCAAAAGCAGTAACACATTCTTTCCTGTCCCCTGCCATCCAACCACAAGCCAGGGCAGGTCACGGCCAAGCAAGGTGAGACAGAACTGACTCCTGAAGGGATGTTGATAAGGACTTTACCTGCATGCTGTCCCTCTAGTTCACAGACATCATCTGAGTGGGCAGGAAACAGCTGGCCTGGCAGTGAATCTTATTCCAATTGAGTCCATTCCTAAACCACATTTCCAAATCAACCCTAACTGCACTTTCTGCTGCTTTGTAAAAGATAACAGTGTGTAGCAGTTACTGGATCCTGAAGGATGACTGAACCACACCTCCCATTACCTTCTTCATGTTTTTCTAGGAGAATATAGGACACAAGGTAGACTCAGGACTCAGGAAAACATCATCACGGAGTGATGTCAGCAAGACGGCTGGAACCATAAGCCAAATAAATTCTTCCATTCTTTAGTCATGGTATTTTATCACAGCAACAAGAAGTAAATAATGCATGTCAGTTCCTTTCTTCCTGCTGCCCGATTCCCATGGGTGAACAGTAGAAAGTTCAGGAAAAACTGTCACTCTTACTAGAGTTATAGGCCATGAATTAGTGAGATTTTTCTGACCTTGAAGGGAGATGTTTTTAATTAACTAAGCATAAAAACCCATAATACACTATCAAGAGGAAAGTAAGGCACCCTGCACTGCTTCCCCATCCAGACCAGCTTGTTCAGCACTGTTGTGGCCAGTGACTGCACAGAAGACTCCCACAGCCCCCACAGACCCTGGACACAGAGTTCATATGGCATTATTGCCAGAGTAGCCCACCCTGCACAAATTCCACTTCACCCAGTGACCTAAGCTGAGATAGTTCCATTATCAGCTTGAGTACATCTGACCCTGGGATAGCTGCCATGGTGATCTTCATTTCTGAGACTCTATCCTCGTTCCTGATCTTATTGTTGCAGAAATGGCTACAACCACAAGATCCAAGAGCTGCTCAGAGCACTGACTCATAAGAAAGACGGACATTTGGCATCTAAACTCAGGTAGCCCCATCTCACAGACACAGACTAATTTGCACAGAAAGAAAGTGTGCACCATCAGTAGCCCAGGACACCCACATACATTGCACCTGGCATAACAGGAAGTAGCCTTGTTCCTCCCTCTAAAGAAAGCAATGCACAGCTATGTGACCCTGCACATACCCAAGACTAGCCCTGCAACCAGATAGGTGGCAACCCTACCATGTTCACCTGCTGTAGTCAGACATCCAGAAACAAGCACACATACCCACGCCCAACTCATCAACCAACCAGAAAAGTCCTGTCCTCAATAAACCAACCAAAGACACTGATTGGCACTACTTTCAGGAACCCACACCCAGCCCAACAGTCAACCAGGAATCACACAGACTACTTGTTGTTGATAAAGAAATGAATGAAATAAGAATACATAGTTGATGATGGCTATACAAACTAGACTAAGTAAAAGTTGAATTTTCTGACCTTGAAGACAGGCATTTTTGGCTAACTCAGATGAAAAGAATTTTAAAAATGAGCAAGGCTTATGAGACCTACAGATTATGATTAAGCCAACAAAAACATGCAAATGAGAGTTCCAGGGAGTAATGCACAAAAAGTGCATTTAACAAAATAATAACTGAAAAATTTTCCAACTTGGGAGAGATGTGGACATCTGGATTCATGAAGTCAATGGCCTAAGGAGAATCAATTTAAAATGACTCTCTCCAAGACACATTAGAACTTAACATGAGGTCAAAGGTTAAAGGCCAAGAGAGAGTTCTAATATGGGGGGGGGGGAGAAAGTCCTATATACAGGACTCCCATTATCGTAGATTTCTCAGGACAAACCTTGAAGGCAGAGAGATAATAGGATAACATTCAGAGTGCCAAAAGGAGCCACAAACATCATACTCAGCAAAGTCTGCCCTCAGAAGTACCATACCCAGCAAATCCTGCCCCTCAGAAGTGAAGAACTAAGGTCTGTCTCAAATCAGTGAACACTTAGGGAATTCATCACCATCAAACCAGCCCTATGATACAGGATTAAGGAAATCCTTTATCTAGAAGTGAAAACAACCACCATGAAACACACAAAAATGTATAACTTACTGGTAGAGAAGATAAACAAAGGGAAGAGAGCCTTGTTGTTGATATAGAAACACCAAGCTATAAGGATTGGTGCAAAAAAAGGAAGAATAATATATATATATATATATATATATATATATATATATATATATTAATAGCCAAAAAGTCATTAATATGACAGAAGTTACTTGTTACCTATAAATAATAATCTTTCATTTAAGTAAATCCCTCAACAGATAGGCTAAATGAACTTATATAAAAGGTCCAACTGTATGCTGACTACAAGGAACTCACTTCATAGGAAAAGACACACATTGCCTTCCAGTAACTTCAAAAACAAGAAAAAGAAAGACAAAGAGGGTAATTGTACAGTGATGAAAGAACGAATAAGCAACAGAATACAACTGTATATATATGAACCCAAACTGAACCAAGCAAGCATGTGAAACTATTAGATCTACAGGAGAGACAGATTCCACTGTAATAACCACTGAAAATCTCAAAAACCCCACTTTTATCAATGGGCAGATTGCCTACATGGAAAATCAACAAACATCAATTAAATAAAGTCTAGACCAAATGGACAGATCATTTCCTACCACGTCAGAATACACATTCTTCTCATTACATAAACACCCTCTAAGAGACCCATACCCCTTAACTCATCAAAATCATGTCATGTATCTTTTCTAAATGCAGTGGAAGAAAGTGGGAATCAACAGCTATGGAAATCATATAAACACACAGAAATTAAACAAACTTCTGAGTAATCAATGAATCATGAAGAAATTACAGAGAAAGACCGAAAGTATGGTAGGACAAATGAAAAGAAAGAAACAATGGTTTTGTTTCAAGCTACGGTGCTACATGTTAGTCCAAGGACAAACCGTTTTCTTCCCATGAGAGCATCTTTTTAAAATTGTAATTTTGTTGTAAGAAAGAAAGAACACATCAAAGTGTATGGGATAGAGAAGTGGAGTCTTAAGAGTGAAATTGGTGCAGAATCAGCTGTTGGTCCAGAGAGTACCCTATAACAATCAGACTTTCCATTTTCAACAAGTTTATTAAGTATGCAACATGCAAGAGTAAAACAAATAAATAAGTGACAGACAGTTAAGGTCATCAAATCACCTGTAACATCCAGTAGAAATGCTACCTCAGCTGGAGTTTTCACCTTAGTGGTATAGACAGAGGTCTCTCCACAGAAGAGCTTCCAGCTTCCCATTCCCACCTTAGCTGGATTTTTATACTATGGGATAAACAATACTAACCTCTGTTGGAAATGGTTTATCTCCTAGCTGTTCTCAAAGGCACAATGTGTTTAATCCCCTTAGGCTACTTGCTGTCCTCCTTTCCCCTTGCCATCATGTCAGGGGACCAGCCTACTCTAGGACAGAGTCTTGGGAGACACTTGAGAACATCTGGGGATGGAGAGATGGCTCAGTTGTTAAAAGCAACGTTGCTCTTATGGAGGACCCAGGTTTGATTCCCAGCATTTGTATGGTGGCTCACAATCATATGCAACTCCAGTTGGAAGGGACCCAACACCCTCTTCTGGCCTCTTTAGGAACTAGGCACACACATAATACACATATATTCATGAAAAAAAACACATACATAAAAAATAAATCTTCTAAAAAAGAAAGGAGAGAGCAGAATAGAATGAAGGGCTGAAGAGCACTGACTACCTTTGCAGAAGCCCTGGGTTCGATTACCAGCATCCACATGTCACACTACTATCCCTAACTCTAGTTCCAAGGGATCTATCTAATGCCAAATTCTGGCCTCCATAGGTACTGTGTGCATTTGGTACACAGACATACAAGCAAGCAAAAAAAGAAACATTGTGTGTGTGTGTGTGTATTGATACTAAAACACAATTACAAAGTAATAATTGAAAAGTATTACCACAATATCACATAGAATACTATCAAGAAAATGAAAAAGATATTTTCATCTTGGCCTAAAGATACAGGCCTATAATCTCAGCTACTTGAAGACCAAACATTCTAAGCCATCCTGAGCTACAGAAGGAGTTCAAGGCCAGCATGCTTAACTTAGTGAAACCCTGTCACAAAACTAAAAGTAAAAAGAGGTCTGGGATGTACCTTTGTGGCAGGGTATTGCCTAGATTGTGCATGACCTAGGTTCAATCACTAACACCACAAAAGAGAGAAGGAGAGAGGGAAGGAGGGGAGGGAGGGAAAGGAAAAGTATTTCCAGTGCATATAGCAGAAAATAATTGACATCCAAGAAAAGTAAGTTCCTAAAAATTCACATGAAAATTGCAAAGTGCTTATCAAAAAAAAAATCAAATGTCACAAGAAGGAAGGGGGGAAATGCCATTCGGAGCCATTGGCAGCCAGGGGAATTCACACCCCAAGCTGAGCAAGCTATGTTAAGCCTAGTGCTGTTTCTCCCAACAGTTCTGCTGAAGGAAGAAAAAAAAATGCAGAATCATGTCAGAGTATGCCTGGCTAATCCCAGTAAATGTTAAAATGAGCAGCCTGTGACTCAGGAAGCCACTGCTAACTATACAGACAATATATGCAGGATGTTCGTGTAGCTCTTTGTAAAAGTCAAAATCAGAAATAGCCTACTGCTTTTCACAAAGAAAGGGGAAAAAATAATCATGGGATATGCATATAACAGGCACATTATACTACAGTTAAAAATGGATGAGTATGCAAAATTAAATAGGCCTACATACATTAATATATACAGTGTTTAAAACAGGACTGGGACTTTAGCTCAACTGGTAGAGTGCTTGCAAGTACACAGGGAGCCCTGGCTTTGGTCAGCACCCAAATACCATAAG